GGAAAACAATCTAATACAAAACTAATCGTATATCTACTCTATGACTTAACAACGGCACTTCTAGGGGAGCCTGGGTGGCTCAGTCAGTTAAGCATTGAACTCTTGACTTCAGCTCAGGTCATGATTTCAGGGTTCAAGAGTTTAAGCCCTACTTCGGGTTAAGCCCTGATAGTACTGAGCGTGTTTGGGATTCTCTCTCTCTGACCCTCCCCTGCTCATGCTCGCGCTCTCTCTCTCTCAAAATAAATAAACTTTGGGGGAGCCTGGGTGGTCAGTAGTTTAAGCGTCCAACTTTGGCTCAGTCAAGATCTTGCAGTTTGTGAGTTTGAGCCCTGCATTGGGCCCTGTGCTGACAGCTTGGAGACTGAGCCTGGGGCCTGCTTCAGATTCTGTGTCTCCTTCTCTCTCTCTGCCCCTCCCCCGCTCATGCTCTGTCCCTCAAAATAATAAATGAACATTAAAAAAATTTAAGAGCAATTAAAAAATAACATTTAACAAATAAAAGGTTTTTATATATTAAAAATATAGCAGAATCAAAATACTCAATAGGAAGACTGGAAGACAAAGGAAATATTCCAGAAAATAGAACTGAAAAAAAAAAAAGACAGTAAAATGGGAAAGAATACTTGACATCAAGTAGTACAATATGACCAATATTTCCAAAAAAGCAGAGGAAAAAAATCCTAAGAGGAAAAAAAATTCTTACAACTATAAATGTCCAATTTTATGTAAAAAGGTCCAGAGCTGGGGCGCCTGGGTGGCTCAGTCGGTTGAGCATCCGACGTCAGCTCAGGTCATGATCTCAAGTTTCTGGGTTCGAGCCCCACATCAGGCTCTGTGCTGGAGCCTGTTACAGATTCTGTATCTCTCTCTCTCTCTGACCCTCCCCTGCTCATGCTGTCTCTCTCTCTCTCTCTCTCAGAAATAAATAACACATTAAAAAAAATTAAAAATAAATAAAAAGGTCCAGAGCTTAGCACAGTGAACCAAAAAAGACATAACAAGGCACGTGCATTTCAAATTTAAAAATATCAGGGATGGGGTGCTTGGGTGGCTCAGTCAGTTAAGTGTCTGTCGGACTCTTGATTTCAGCTCAGGTCATAATTTAACAGTTCATGGATTCGAGTCCTCTGTCCACCTCCATGCTCATAGCACGGAGCCTGCTTGGGATTCTCTCTCCCCCCTCTCACTGCCCCTCCTCTCGCTCTCAAAATGAGTACATAAACTTAAAAAAATAAAATAAAATAAAAATGCCAGGGAGAGTCAGAAAACTCTGAAATCTACTAGAAAGACAAAGAGAAAAACAGCAGAGGAAGAACGATACTTATCTTCCCAACAACTCTAGAAGCTAAGGACAACGACAATACCTTCAAATACCTTCTGAAAGAGAGGTGTTCCAACTCAGAAGTTTATACTCGGCCCAATTATAAATCAAAAATGAGGATAAATATATTTTCAGGACAGACTTAATACATTTTCAGGCATTTGCAACTGTAAAAAAAAAAAAAAAAAAAAGACTGCTTTGGACACCCTCGCAGGAAATTTCTGTAGGATGTGCTTCATTAAAAAAAGAAAGAAAGAAAAAAAGAAAGAGGGTAAAGCAAGAAAGATATGAGTTCTAGTGAAAGAGAAAAAGCAAAGGAAATTCCTGGGATGACTCTAAAGACGAATCCAGCACAGCTGCGTAGCAGGCAGCGTGAAGCAAGTGCAGTTTGGAGCAGGAGGGAGTTCGGAGGGAGGTGCGACCAAAGATCGCTCATGCGACTGAGTGTAATATAGGGGAACCTGTATGGGGAATTCTGGGATAAAATGAAAGGGCTTAGTCAAATATGCAAAGAAAACAAAGGCAATGGGATGTTGTAATTATTTACTCTAGGGGAAAAAAGTTATAGGAAAAAGGGAAACATAATTAGAGCACACTGTGGCTGGGGTAGGGGACGAGGAAATTTTACAATCACTGAAAATGAAAAGACGGTGTGTATCAAACCAACACAGTTATTGGGATGATAAGGGAAAAGGGCCTAAGAGCTCTCTTTTCTCCCATAATAAGACAACTGATTCATTCGTCGGACACTAATACCATCTATGTCCATCACATCTCAAAGGACAATTGATAATGTTTAAAATTACCACAGAGGCATACCATTCAAAAATACGGAAGTATGTGCCAGAACAGATACAAACACAAGTTTGTAAAGATGATCCGATTTGAAAGTACTCCCTTCGTCGATAACCGCATCCCAATTAAGCAATACAAATTGCCGAAACTGTGTACTTTGTCAGTTTCACTTAGACAAACATGCTTTGGCACATTTATTCCCAGAAAGGTATCAAATTTAAGATTAGAAGCTTTGTGCTGTAAAATGCTATGGAAAAAAAAAAAAGATGGGAGGCAAATATTGTTTAAAAAAAAAAAAAGGAAAAAAAAGACGGGAAAGGAGTCCTTAAAGTAACATATGTACTTCTCAACTCTGGCTGCAAATCTGAATCACCTAGACACTGACGCCCAGGTCACCCTGCCCCATTCTGATCTAACTGGTCTGAGGCAGGGCCTTGGGCTTATTATTCTAATATGCAACCAAGATCGAGTCATCTGAGTATCTCTGGATAAATTGTATTACAGTGGTGAAAATGGAAAATGCTGAGGTTGTCAGTTAATGCTGTCGATACAGAAAGTAAAAAAAACAGAGACTAAAGTATCGGTCTCCTCACATTATTCCCCGTTTAAAAAATAACAGCGAGTAAACTCTTCAACGGTCCCCGTGGCTTGCTCTGTAGTTTGATGCCTTAGTTGGTGGACACACAAGGCCCTCTGCAATCTGGTTCCAAGGGGCTACCTCTCCAACCTCATCCCCTCTAACTCCCCCACAGGCAAATGGAGACACCGCCAAACTAAACTATTTTCAGCTTCCTTCAATGTACCAAAGTATTTGATCACTCTCCCATTTGCATATTATTAGCCCTTCAGCCTAGAATAATATGGCCCTTCTACTCCCTCTAATCACTGTAAGCTCCTACTGACATTAAAGTACAAGTATACCTTTCCCTGTAGTCTTCCAGGAACCACTAGAGAAAAATTAATCACTTATTGGCAATCACAGCCACGCTTCTATACATGTCTGTTCAAAAATTTACCACACTGCACTTCCCCCCCCTTCCCCCCAGGTCTCATTTACTGACCTTTGAGTACTTTGAGAACAAGTAACTATGTTACCTTTTCTGTTTGTTTTTCATCTTTGTATCTGCTATGCCTAACCGAAGGCTGGCCTATGGCCCATGACTAGATGTCAGCTGCATGAATGAATGATAAAATGACAGGATAACCACTACCTCTAAATGTTCAACAGCAAAGTTAAAGGAAAAGAAAAACTCTAAATAGTAATGGGGATTGAGGAGGCCTGATAAAGTTTGTGACTTTAAGCAGCTGATGAACGTTTTTCTTCATCTCTTAAATCTTCCCCCTAAGTCCTCCATTCCCTTCTAGTCTGATTATGGAAGGTTCAATAAATCAATCATTAATTAAACAGTAAAAATAAAACAGTGGAGAAGAAGAATAGGATGGATTATACAAGGAGAAATCAAGACTTTGGTAACGTTTTGTTCCTTAAACTATGGGGAAAGGTAAGCAGGGGAGAACTGTGTTGATCTTTACAGTTTTTACCAGGTCTTAGAATGCAGCTTTACATTTACGTCTAGTAGTGATTTCAAGTAACAAGGACTGGAAAATATAAACTTCTGGGGGAAAAAATCACATATTGAATGTATAGACTGTATCCTTAGTTAAAGGCTGAGCACTATGAAAGCACCAGAGATGTGACACCTGTGGTAATTGCAAATATACACATAATTGCATATACACACATAAGCACATGTGTATACACATACATATTTATTTACTTATAACTTTAGAAAAGACTACTTTAGCGTTCTCGGCTATGGAACAAGTGAACTAAAGTCATGTCATTCTCTTCCCGAGTTCTCAAATCCAGGGAAAAAAACCCACATTAAGCAGTAACAATTGGTAATCATTAAAAAACACTGGGTTTTTATTACGTCTGGGTATTAAATAGAAAACGATCCAACTTGACAATAAACTATGAAAGAAAAAAATAAAAAAAATAAATAGAAAACGAAACTGAATTTAAACAGTAGTTTCAATTACTAAGGAAAGCATTCTGTTCAGAGAAAGGCTAAAACTTCACCTATGGTCAGCCTCCCCCCACCTCCCACTTTTTCTTTTTTTTTAGGGGGGGGGGCCGGGTATTTATTTTCTCTCTTCAGAAGACATCACCTCTCATCCTTTCTGACTCAGAACAGGTTTTACAACTCCTTGGCCCTTTGGACTTCCAGCTTCCAAATGTCTCATAACCTGTCCCAGGCTAATTGCGGCCACGTAATCTCCTGCACAGAACCAGAAGCATTTCGTTCTCTAATAGCTAAGAAAGGAATAAAGGGTTCGGGATGCTGGGTTCCAGAAACCCGTGTATCTCACAAGGCAACTCATTCCCGAGGGCGAGCGGGCCGGCGACCCGAGACAGAACGGGAAGGCACAAAGGCTTACAGACCTGGGCGGTAAACAAAGCAGCACCAGTAACAATAATTAAAAATTTAAAAAAAAAAAAAAGTTGATAGGTTTCTGGGCGCACATTTGCGAGGCAAGACGCAGGATGCTTCACCAGAGACGGAAAAGGCCTGCAAAACGCCTCCAGGTATCACTAGGTCCTTCCCGATCGGCTTCGCTCCAATCCCCAAATTCTTAGTCTGGACTCTGGGATCCCAAACGCCGCCTCTTTTCACTCCCCGTTTCTCCCACACGTCCCGTCTCCGCTGCACTTTCTCCCAGGCTAAAATCCCGAGCTTCTACCCGCCCCCTCGAGCAAACCACTTCTCTGCGTCTCCGAGGGTGAGGGTCCGCCGACAGCCCTGCCTCCGGCGGTCCCCCAGGGCGGCCAGACCCTCCTCCTCGGAGGCGAGCCTCGGCGCAGCTCCATCCTTCTCACCTTGGTTGCAGAAGAGGCTCCACAGTTTGGCGAAGATCAGCCCCATCACGAGCACCCGGGCGGGCCGCGGGGTCCCTCAGCAGCAGGTGCCGCTGCGCCGGGGCCCCCACCACGGCGCTGGCTGTAGCGACCCGAGGAGAAGCCTGCTGAGACCGCGCGGCGACCGCACCGGCGGGCCGACAAGCCGCGATCGGCCGCTCAGCTACCGGTCGGAAGGCACCGCGCCGAGTCCCTACCGGATAGTTCTTTGTTTCGAGCCAGCTGAGCCCAACGCCGACCCGTAGTACCCTCGGTCTGAACCCACCTACCCACCAGAGCCTCAACCGGCCCCAAGCCCCGCCTCCGCTCCGCCTCCCCTCGCGAGTCCCCACCCCCCCGCCCCATCGCCGGAAGGACGGGGCCGGACGTCGGCGCGCTTACGTTTCCACACGCTTTCGACGTGGCGTTTCCTTCGGTTTCACTTCCGGGGGGCGGGCTCCGAACTGCCCGCGGAGCCAGAGCTTGGGTGCGTGGGGGTCGGGAGTTTCCCCAGGTGAGCGCTCGGGCGGGTCGCGTTCCAGGTCTCGCGTCTCTGCTGTTGGGCAAGTGCGCGTCCCCGCGTCTAAATCCAGAGACGGCTGCAGTTCCTCTGCCGTTTGTTGCCCTGTGACTGCACAGAAATCGAGAGTGTTCCTTTCGCAACGGTCATCCTGGGCAGGCAGGCAAGCTTGGGTTCTACCGCGATTCTGAATTCGAAATAGAATTGCTGGGGAGACGATCCATGGAATGCCGGGAGCCAGAAAGTTCGTTCGTGTGATTGACTTAAAGTTGCCTCGTGCCGCGCGTTCGGAATTTTTCGTGGAGCCCAAACCCACGAAATGAAAAAGTAAAAAAAAAAGAAAATAAAAAACAATACCCCACAACGTTTCTGAAGCAATTACTGGAAATTACTTCCTCTGATGGAAATGGAATCCCAGTCATCTCTTCCGTTCAATAAAATAGAGGCAAAAGCTCCAAGTGATGTGCCTAGAGCAAAGAAACTGAAATTTCAAGGAAACGGTTGAACTAGGAATTTTTTTCAAATATGTAGATTATGAACTTAATAATTGGAAGAACTGTTTGCCGCTGGAATGGAGTTCAATTTATTTCTTGGCTAACGTTTTAAGTCAAAAAGCCAATTCTCTACGTGATTCACTCTCACTTTTTTTTTTTAAATTTCAGTTTAGTGCCACAATGTTACATTGCTGTCAAGTGTACAACGTAGTGAGTCAACGCTATGCTCACCACAAGTAACTACCATCTGTCACTGCACTGTACCCTATTACACAATTCCACCTTCTTTTCCTGGGTAAATTCCAATAAATTTAAAATCTTTACAGCCTGGCATGAAACCAAATTCCCCTGAAATCAGTAAAGGAAAGGACTTAATTGAAAAGGCTATGGGCTTCCATCACGTGGTAGATTTTAACCCAGGGAGCAAAGCCTTTTAACAGGCCAAACTTTCCTTACCTGTAGGAAGAGAAATGAAATGTATGACTTAAGAAATTCTCCCAGTGTTATGATTCAAAGATCCTTTAAGACTTTCATGTGGGATAATCTGCTCCAACTGTCTCATATTAAAGACAAGTTATAACGTCCCTTAGAGAGGAAAAGGTATCCACAGAGCCTATGTAAATTAGTTTATCTGTCAGGATCACGAATTTGCTTCAATGTAAAGAATCTTGTGTTTGTGTGAACAGAGGTTTAAAGGGATATGTGTAATCATAGTTTCATTATTTTAAAAAAAAACCTTTAGATTCTGTAACTTAGTTTCTTCAAATGTTAAACATACATATGTAAACTACATTCCATTATTTTCTAGCTTTTAGATGTCTAATAAATAGTTTCTGAAATAAAGCAGGTTTTTTTTTTTTTTGCAGAGCTTCGATGCAAAAAAATTTACTTGTTTCTTAAATATCTTTAGGATTTTAATGATTTTTATCACTAAATATTTTAATGATACTTTAGAAAGTAAATTTGAAGGAATTTTTTTTTCACTTTTAATTAAGTGGTGGATGACTATAGTTGAGCAGGGCTGTTGATACTTATATTGGTTCTACTCTTTCAAAATGTTTGAAACTTTTTTTTTTAGAGTGATCTCGACACCCAGTGTGGAGCTCGAACTCACAACCCCAACACCAAGAGTCACACGCTCAATCAGCTGAGCCAGCCAGGTGCCCCAAAATGTCTGAAACTTTTATGTTAAAGAACTGTTCTAATTTTTATCATCTTCTCTACACTTTAGCAGACAACAGGACTGTTGAAATATTTTTAGAATATTCTTTCACATTAGAAAGTGTTGGGGCGCCTGGGTGGCTTAGTCGGTTAAGCGTCCGACTTTCGCTTAGGTTATGATCTCGCAGTTCATGGGTTCGAGCCCCGCGTCGGGCTCTGTGCTGACTGCCAGCTCAGAGCCTGGAGCCTGTTTCCGATTCTGTGCCTCCCTCTCTCTCTGACCCTCCCCTGCTCAGGCTGTTTCTCTCTCCTAGAAATAAATAAAACAAAAAAATTTTTTAAAAAAAAGTGTTATTTGCAGATTTAGGAATTTGAAATTTTTATTAACTGTAAGAAAACTAGTCACAACTGAAAAACGAATATAATTGATTAACAAAATGTGGTTATGCATTATGTAAACAGAAATCATGCTGGCATACCAGAATTATCTTTTACAAAATATACAATTTAGTTGATATTGTACATTTGTATTATATATGATGGTAGGAATACTTGTGAATAATTTAACCTAGAGAAATTTGAATAATACACTTTTTAAATATAGTACTTAAAAAACAGAACTCCTTTGTTAATTTTTTTCTGGAAACGTTCCTTTAAAAGCTGTTTAAAAACTAATTTCAGTGTAGCCCTTCATCCAAAGAAGGTCTCACTCTTCTATGAAATGTTACTATTTGACTATATTTTGAACTCATGAAATAAGAAAAAAAGTCATGAAAAAAGGAACCTGATAATATGGTCATTAGGATTATAACTTACTTTCTGAAGTGTTAATTGAAAGTAACTTCCTTTAATTAATACCGAATGCCAGTAATATTTCTCTCCAGTTCACTAAATTTTAAGAAAAAGATAAAAGTACTATACATAAAGCAAATCAAAGACATGAAAATTTCAAGAAAAAAATGAAACATTGAACCACTAGGGAATTAAAAACAACCAACTGTAGCTACTGTTCCTCAGAAGGAACTAATTATAAACCATCTTTAGATAATACGTAGCAGAATTGGCTACAGCAGGAATTGAATTCAATTTATTACCATTAACCAAGATAAACTGCATGCATGGCTTGAACCAAGAATCCAGGACAGCATGTTTGGCTTAAGAATGAAACTTTTCAAAACCAAACAACTCTCCTCCATAACTGAGATTATATCCACTTTGACTTTAGCCTCCAGTTGAGTTGATAGTGATAGATTCCCTGCCTTTCTAGACTTTTTTTACCTAATCCCCTCATGCCCTTCTTCATGGAATTGAATCTTTTGGAATATGTTTGGTTTTTGGTAAGGTTAAGCTTTGGAACACCACGAACTAAGACTTAAGATTACAAGATTGTACCTAAGATTACTTTGCTCCCCCACATTGGGGGCCATATCATCCCACTGGGAAAATACAAGCTAAATGACCCTTACATGGGTATATTCCTGTAAGGCTCTTCCTTTTCTTAGACATATGTATGCACGATGCCAACTTCAGATTTGTCATATGCTTTTTTTGGACCCAACCTGAGAACACTAAGAGGAGTTTTCATCAACATAACTGTGACTACAATACTGTCTAAACAAGGATAGTGTAAAAGTCCTCAGCACTATTCACGTGTGTTTGACTAGTGAACTGATTTCCAGCAAATACATGCTTTATCAGTTTTCATTCTCTAGTTCACATAGATGCCTGTCCATTCACCTAGTCAATCAACATTTAAGTGCCTATTACGTGTTCAGGCAGTGGGTACGGAGTGGGGAGATGGAAGTCTACCCTCGCTGAGTTTACAAATCTAGTCCAACTCGGTCCTTCCTCTCCCTCATCTCCTAAATACAGACTCCAACCATTATTGGCTCTAGGGTGGTAATGTTGAGGCTGCAAAAATTCCTCTGGCAATGCGTGATGGAGACATTTTTTCTAATCACTTTTAGATGATTTAGCCATGGGGAAAAAACCATGAACTTACTGAAGAAGTAGACCATGGTGAGAAGAGTTGGTATTCGTTTTAGATGACAGGTGTTTGTGATCTTTATCCTGACTTCTCGCTAACTGTGGGGCTGCAAAGTTCTTTCTGCTCTGGGAGCCTTGTTTTTCTCCTCCGTGAAAGAGAGAACGAAAACCACATTACAAGATTGTGTGGCATAATGGCCGTAAGTTAGAACATTTTGTACAGAACATGGTATGTTTATCCCAGAAAGTAATCATTAAACTTTTTAAACATCCCTGTGTGAGACTTAAAGAGAAAAGGACTTTAGAAAAAACATTGTCCTATACTTAAGTATAAATGGCCACGGTGAGCTGCAAAAACAAAAATCAAAGCCAAGGAGGGGCACCTGGGTGGCTCAGTCAGTTAAGCATCCGACTTCAGCTCAGGTCATGATCTCTGGTCCGTGAGTTCGAGGCCTGCATCGGGCTCTGTGCTGACAGCTCAGAGCCTGGAGCCTGCTTCGGATTCTGTGTCTCCCTCTCTCTGCCCCTCCCCTGCTCATGCTGTGTCTCAAGTAAACATTTAAAAAAACAAAACCTAAGTCAAGGAGATAATTATTTTTAGCTACCTATTCGATCATCAAATGTCTCACTTTCATTAGGTACCTTCTTTTGAATCCTTTCCTTCATCTGTAACACATAAATTATGCCCAGAGTCTCGGCACCTTGAAGCATAAATCAACTATGATACAGGTAACTGCGAGCTTTACTCAACTACTAAATTGTGGGTTTTTAAGTTTTAACCGATCATTCATGGATATTAACACACCGTTAACCCAGCTTTCGAAAATTCGAGTAACGTCGTTCATTCATAGCGGAAGTCAGATTAGCATGCGTCAGAGAGGTTAGGGTAATTTCTGAAATCAAAGGGTGACTTCTGGGTTCAAATCAACTGCCTTTCTGCTTTCTCTGCAGGTCACGCAGCGGGGAACTAATTGGATCCCTCCACTATCAGGCCTTCCACTTAACACACAGCGTTTCCTCATTTGCCCGGACACGCACCGCAGGCGCAGGGCCCGGGTGCTCAGCGCGGCTGCCGCCCCCTCCCTGCTCAAGCCGCCCGCACGTGGGCGTCCCCCCTCCCCCCGCGTCGGGAAACTCCGGAGACGTGACGTAGCGCCAATCTGCGGCCGCGGATTGGGTCGCCAGATGCGCCGCGTCGCCGGAAGTGACGCACGCCGGAAGCGGCTTTCGGCCGAGAAGTTGGGGGCGCGGTTTTGGAAATGAGCTCCGGAACACTGACCGTGACCGAGCGGGTGCGCGTCAGTTTCCCAGGCCGGTTTTTACGCCGTCACCTGTCAGTGTTCTGTTTTTGATTTTCGTTCCTTTCCCCGCTCCCCCCCCCCCCCGTGCTGTTCTTTGCAACGTGGGTGAAGTGGCCTCACGGTGATTTATTTCCCTGAGCGTCCCTAAAGGAGGACCGTGGACGGGCGTGGCGGAGGCGAGGAAGCCGCCGCGAACTGGCGACGCTCGAGGAAGCGTGGATGTACCTCCGCAAAAGCCGAATATAGCTTGCAAAGAGCGGCGCGATTTTCCCTGGCCATCTGGTGGTCGCGGCGCGTGTGGCTGGTTACTCACCGTCGACACGCTGCTCCCTGCTAACTCGGAAAGAGAGAAGTCACCGTTGCCCAGCATTTTTCTTGGAGGAGGACAAAAATAGCAAACATGTCTATTTTCCCTAAGATATCTTTGAGACCTGAGATTGAAAAGTATCTTAAAGAGGGTTTTATGAATAAGGAGGTAGGTCAAATAAACCTGGTAGATGATATTTGCAAACATTAAAATATTTACACACTCGGGAGAAAGACCAAAAAGAAAAAAAAAAAGCCTAAAGCGAAACCTGATCTTTACGCCGTTGTTTCTTGCTGCTTTTTTTTTTTCCAAATGTGCAAACTGCCGCTATCTTCCCGTAGGGATTTAATGCTTTCGAGACCAGAGGTGAATGAGGTGTACGTTTCAGCACTTAGGAATGTGAGGGAAGGGAGGGGAACAAAGCGGTTATGTGCCTGGCCGTGGGCATGGCACTGAAGGGGTTCCAAGAATGAGCGAAAAAGAGTCCTGTTCTCGAGAATTTAAGGCCTGCAGAGAAGATACACCTGCACTCTCCGAGTGTGACAGGTGAAAGGGGTACTGTAGCTTGTTAATGCCTCAGATGCCACCGGTTGTGCTAGGTGACTTGCAGACCTTTACATCAGTATTAGCAATCTTTCTTTCTTTTTTTTCTTGGTAGAGCTTTTTTCCCATTTTATTTTATTTTTTAAGTGTTTTTTTTTATTTATTTCGGCGGGGGGGGGGGCGGCATGAGCAGGGGAGGGTCAGAGAGAGAGGGAGGTACAGAATTCGAAACCGGCTCCAGGCTCTGAGCTGTCAGCACAAAGCCCGATGCTGGGTTCGAGCCCAGGAACCGTGAGATCCTGACCTCAGCTGACGTTGAACCAACTGAGCCACCCAGACGCCCCTTTTCTCCCTTTTAATAGGTGAGAGACTCGAAGGTCCAAAGTGTCCAAATTGACACGCTGTGAAGTAACAGGACTGAGTTCTGACGCCTGAAGAGCTCAGGTACAATGAAAAAAGAATACAGACTTGGAATCCCGAGTCCAGGATTTATGTCCCTGTGTTTTGAGTAAATTATCTCATAGTGTTTAACCTCAATGTTCTTCTCTCTGATGACTGAGGACGTTAAAAATATTTAATATTACAAGGTTGTTTTAAAATACTAATCATGAGAGAAAGGAATTGGGATTGCTTTGGCACCTAAGCCCTCAACAAATATTTTCGCAGTGCCTAGCTCCGAAGGCTGCAGTAGTCTTGTCTTTGATTGCCAAGCTTGTGCTCTTTACGTTTTACTATCCTGCATCTAGGCAACTATATTTCTAAACCTTTGCTTTTCTAGTCAAAGTAAAGGCACTTAAATGTTAATCGTACTTGGAGAGAGCTGACTTTTTAAAATTTGATCTCTGCATTTTGTTTACAAAGGTTATATTAAGGGATTAGACAGCATGGAAAGAGAAAATACATTCTCTTGATTTCAAACAACTTAAACTATAGGAGCATATTAAGAGAAATAGAGGCATTTAGCACTTTTCCCCAGCAATTTTAAAAATAGTAAATACTGCTTTGTAGAAGAAGATCCAGTGCCTGTCTTTGACACCATCTCTGCCTCAAACCCACTACCTATAAACAATTTTACGAAAAAAAAGCCATTACTTTGTAAAAGTATTGGAAGTAAAGGTCCGTTTTAGTAAACTAGAGAGAGGACCAATACTTGATGCTGATGCGTTAGTAGGCTGGCAAGTGGTTTATGGAGATGCTGTGAGGCAGGGCACACTCAAGAGATCACAGAAATGGGCGCCTGGGTGGCTCAGTCGGTTGAGCGTCCGACGTCAGGTCAGGATCTTGGGGTTCGTGAGTTGGAGCCCCACATGAGGCTCACTGGTGTCGGCGCACATCCTGCTTCGGATCCTTTGTCCCCATCTCTCTCTGCCCCTCCCCCACTCACTCTCAAAAAAATAAACATAGATGACAAAAATGGGAAAATACATGTTTCATAAAGCTTCAGTTTATCAGAGGGGAACTTGGTTGTTTGAGTCTTTAAGCCCCCATTTCTAACAGGTTACCTTTGCTACCTGTCATTTTTGGATGATGTCTATTTGTTACATTAAAAAACCGTATTAAAAAGCTGATGTATGGGGCGCCTGGGTGGCTTAGTCGGTTAAGCGTCCGACTTTCGCTTAGGTCATGATCTCGCGGTTCGTGGGTTCCAGCCCCGCGTCGGGCTCTGTGCTGACTGCCAGCTCAGAGCCTGGAGCCTGTTTCAGTCTGTGACTCCCTCTCTCTCTGACCCTCCCCTGCTCACGCTGTCTCTCTCTCTCTCTCTCCTAGAAATAAATAAAATCTTAAAAAAAAAAAAAAGCTGATGTAGATGACCTTTGGATGACAGTAAGTAGCGATGTTACTTATTCAAAATACTCCTGTTGTAAAAGGCTGCTAACCAGCTCGTTCTAGTATATGAGGTAAGCAGGCAAAAGCTTGACAAAATGTTAACAGTTAATACATTATAAATAAATGAAATCTTGAATTTATATGAATAAGTGTGGCAGACATTAATATGTTCAAAATGTTAACAGTGCTTTGACATTGAGGCAGTGTTTTTTCCAAGCCTTTTATGTCAAGCATTTTGTTAGGAGTTTATTTCCGTGATTAAACCCCAAAACCCTGTGAAGTGTTACATTCTCTTAAGTGTTGTTGACACACAAACCCTATAGCAAGATGAAATGGAACTGAACAGTAGCTGAAAGCTGTTTCATTAGTTGAGCAAAGGGGTATTCGTGTTCTCCTTAATATTTTTAGTTCATTAATTCGTACAGGGACACTGAAACATTAACTTATGTTCCTCCTTGCAGGTTGTATCTGCTCTAGGTAAACAAGAAGCAGAAAGGAGATTTGAAACTCTGTTAAATCACTTGTCACACCCTCCGTCGTTCACAACTGTCAGAGTAAATACACATCTAGCCTCAGTGCAACATGTGAAAAACCTGTTGTTGGATGAGCTTCAGAAGGTGTGTGCAAATTTTCTGGGTTGTGTACAGAATGGCATTTCCGCAATCTATGTCATGGTGCTCCCCACTAACATCCTGTGAACATAATGTACTATTCCAATTTTACAAGTAAGGAAATCGAAGGTCATGAATTGTTGTTCAAGTGTTCAAGTTGTTCAAGTGGTAATGTTAGAGATAGTAGTGTTAGAACTTGAACCTAGCTAGCACCTGTGATTCTGAATTTATTACAGTGACTGCCTAGGTCACCCAGCTCTTGTGGCCTCAGTTGCTTCATCATTAAAATACATATGAGGAGGTCCATTCTAACCCTAAAAGTCTGGTTTTGTAATAAGTTACGTGATTACTATCTAAATTAAAAGTAATATGCAAGCATCATTAAAGGGCTCTTATATGTTATAGGCTGTGTATTTAGTTTAATGTAGATATATCATTAAGAAATCTTCAGAAAATTCTCACTGATGTTGATTCACTTATTCTTTAATCTCATTACATTTATAGAATGTTTGTCATACTGTTTTTAGGGACAGTTTTACAAATCTCAAGTTTGAGATTGTTGTGAGAGGATGTGTGAGAACCACCAGCTATGTGATTTGAGTGTATGAGACCCAAACTAGTGTAATAATAAGACTTGTAGAAAAAGTAATCTGATTTTGAATTATTCACTGATACTCCTAGTTCCTCTAAGCAACTAAATGTAACAGATAACAAAATAGAAGCAGTTCTTCTGAGCAGCTAAAATTAATACTCTTACGTGGTCGTGCATATGTTTTCAAGTAGTATGAAAGGAAAGTGTTCTGAGGCCCATCACAAGTGTCTATAACTCCGGCAGAGCCAGATTATTTTCTTTTCTAGCACATTATTCCTAGAGTCTAAATATTCTGTTCCAGTCCAGTGGGCCTGTAGGATCTTATGAACTAGGATCTAGGGTAAGGCAGACATTCACTGTGGATGGGCTTTGAGTCCTTTCAAGGTTAAGAGTAGGACAGAAGGTTGAGCCCTAAGCCCTCGATAGGAAATTGGTGGTAGAGCAGTACCTACGTCTTGCAGGAAAGGGTCTCGGACTATTTAGTTTCTTTCTCCTTCCATGATCCAAAACTCATGTGTGTCCCAAAGAGATATCCCATACGGGTTGTTGGAGGAGTGGATACTTTGTCCCAGAGCTTCTCTGGGCCCCATATTGAAATTTAATGATTTAAAATTTCATCTGGCTGGTGAGGATGGGGAGAAACTGGAACCGTCACACGTTATAGGCGGGGATGTCCAGTGGTTTGGCTTGGGAAGACCGTAGGGAAGAGACGCACCTGATTGGTTCTCCTGAGACTGTGTGAATGGGCCTCAGCACCTATACTCCTGGCCCTGTACCCGTTTCTAGTCTGAAGACTTAAGGATAATAGAGGATACTGAAAATCCTGAACTTTTGCCAAAAAGCATTTCTTTTCCTCACCAAAACTGACATGGCGTCCAGTATGGATGGTTTACAGTAAATAATAATCATCCCACTCTTTAATGTCCTGTTTAGAGTTATTCATTGAAAGAGTACTACATGCAATTCTATATTGGATATGTGTTTTCAAGATAAGTCTCTTAAGGTTTATGGGTTGGTTTTTATAAAGCCAGACAGCAAAACTGAACCTTATAAAGACTTGGAGAAGAATAAAATAAAAAGAAAACATAGTTGTTTTGAAGTCTTTGTTCCACAATATTACGTGGAATAGAGTGAGAACATCCTAAACGAAGCTTCATGCTCTGCTAGATAATGACACCGAAAAGCTCTGTAAGTTGAAATTTATCAATTCTATTGATCTTCATACTTCTGTTTGTTTATTTTTAACAGCAATTTAATGGATTAAGTGTTCCTATTCTTCAACATCCAGACCTTCAGGATGTCTTACTTATTCCTGTTATTGGACCTAGGTTTGTAACTTTTCCATTTTCAAGTTAAATTCTTCTAAAAATTTGTCCCAGTCTTCTTACTGTTGGGTGACAACACTAAGTTTCTGTGTTATTAGCCACTTCATATAGACAGACAGCAATTCACAAATTCATAAATGCCAACTTCATACTCTGTCATGGAAGATGTCACCAAAGACTAGGAATGGGCCCAAATATCTTGAAAGCAATGCGTTTTAAGTCCATTTGGTGCCATGTTCCTCCTTTTTTTTTTTTTTTAAGTTTGCATATTTGTTTTTTCTTCTTTTTTTTTTTTTACACGAATAGTTTATTGTCAAGTTGGTTTCCATATAAGTTTGCGTATTTGTTTGTTTGGAGAGAGAGAGAGAGAGAGAGAGAGAGAGAGAGAAAGAGAAAGGGACGGAGGGAGAAGCAGAACCCTAAGCAGGCTCCGTGCAGTCAGCCCAGAGCCTTCCGTGGGGCTCAAACCCATGAACCATGAGATCATGACCTGAGCTGAAATCAAGAGAAAGATGTTTAACCAGCTGAGCCATCCAGATGCCCCAGTAGTGGAATCTCTTAATATATAAGTAAAAAATGAAGTGACTTAGAAAGTAGGAGGAAAGGGACGCCTGGTGGCTCAGTTGGTTAAGTGTCTGACTCTTGTTTTTCGGCTCAGGTCACAATAGTGTGGAGCCTCCTTTGGATTCTGCCTCTTGCACTCGATCGCGCGCGCTCTCCTCTCTCTCTCTCTCAAAACAGTTTCCATTGCTAATATAAAACTTTTTTTTTGAGCTACAGAAAAATACAAGGCAATGTATTACCTACATTCATAGCTGATATTTTTGAAAATTTTATTCATTAATTCACAGTTACCTTAAGTTATTGTGTATGTTCTGTAGAACAATGTTCTACTCATTTGTGTATTTGGAAGACATGTTTGAGAATTGGGGGGAGAAAAGCCTTTCATATTACAATAGGAGTTCATTTCTGAGGAACTTTTGAAATCCCTAATTATGGTTTAATTTTTTTATACCCCTGTTTGTTTTATTAGATAGAAAAATGCTCATTTGTTAAAGCTTTAAATAGTTTAGTAAAGCAGTCAATAGTAAAGCAGTGGTTTAGTAAATTGAGATTTATCTGTGCATTGAAATATTTTATGGTCTTTAATGGGGGAGAATTATATGTACCAATAATAGAAGATAATTCAGTTATCAAAAGGGGGGTGCCGTGTGTAAGATAATTTTTTTGTGTGCGTGATTACAGAAACAACTATACATTTACTTGTATTTAGAAAGAAGTCTAGAGGCTTTAACAAACCCAGCTTTTTTTTTTTTTTTTTTTTTTTTTTTAAGTAAAGTTAACATTTGGGGTGCCTTGAGTGGCTCAGTCAGTTAAGTGTCTGACTTAGGCTCAGGTCGTGATCTCATGGTTTGTGGATTCATGCCCCACGTCAGACAGTGTGCTTCCACCTCAGCCTGGAGCCTGCTTCAGATTCTGTGTCTCCCTCTGTCTCTTCCCCTCCTCAGCTCGCACTCTGTCTCTGTGTCTCTCTCTCAAAAAAAAAATCAGAGGTCAACCCCCCGTCCCCCCCGCACTGCTCCGGCTCCATCATCTTAGTTTTTCCTTGGAGATCTATGAATTCATCATTGAACTTTAAAACTGGGCTAGGATACAGCTCAATTTTCAGTATTCTCTTCCTTTTTAGTCAGACATTAGAATTTTTTAGTTACAAGTCCGTCAGTAGTTCTGTGAACATTTTTCTGTTACATTTTTCTGTGTTCTCTATTATAAGAACACGAGGACTGTGTAGGTTGGCTCTCCAGTGCAGATACCCCTGTGTTGGGGCACCCCAAGACAGCCCTCAGGTGCCGTGATGGACTCAGCCTGCAGTAGTGCTCCTGGGGAAGATTGGTTACGTTAAAGGATACAAGAGCAAAGTCTAGAAGGGAAAGGTGCATGGGGCAGAGGAGGCGGCCAGGCACAAGCATCCCAGAGTCCTCTCCCTGACGGACTTAACAGGACATGCTTAGTTCCTCTAGCAGCGAATTGTGACGTGAGTAAAACAGTTGCCCGGGAGGGCAGCTCATTACAGACTAGACTCCGTGGCCAAGGTTTTTTTTTGGGGCGCTGGTCATGTGATCACCCTCTGCCTGGACTGCACCAAAATTTCAGGCTCCCAGAAGGAAATCAGGTGTTCAGAATAAAGCACGTTGCTCGTACAGTGTAGGACTGATAACCCACTCTTCGTAGGGAAGGTTTTAAATCAGTGTTGGGAACTGTTTCCCAGTTGTTTCCAGATGCCAGCGGAGGGCCAACCTTGCCAGCAGGCCTTTCTAAAAATAGCCATCTCAAGCCTCTTGTGTTCTTACTGCAGAGGCTTTACTATTTCCCGGTTCACTGTTTTTTGGTTTTTTTTTTGTTTTGTTTTTAAACCTTCCTTATCTTGGTTACACAACAGAATTTAAGAACATTGTGTTAACGGATTTAAAGTTACTTATTTTGAGAGAGAGTGCTAGTGTGTGAGCAGGGGAGGGGCAGAGCCGAGGAGAGCGGATCCCAAGCAGGCCCCGTGCGATCAGCACAGAGCCCGACTCGGGCTGGAGCCTCACCCACTGTGAGATCCTGACCTGAGCTGAAGTATTAACTGACTGAGCCACCCAGGTGCCCCACCTTTTACCTATTTTTAAAAGTACAAAGACCTATTTGAAAGATTTTTTCTTGGGTTTTTATTTTTTGATTGATTGATTTTTTTTGGGGCTACTACCTCTGTATCGGTCCCATGTTGAACGAATCTTTTCTGCTTATTATTCATTGAGCGGAAACAGTTATATTCACAGAGCTTCACCTACTTTGCAATTTGCTCAAAAATGTTACAGAATGGGGTAAAGTGTGTCCCTAGTGGACTCAACAGATGTGCTTTCAGGAAGTGCTTTCGCCAGATTTTCCGTAGCAGCAGCAAATGTCTGGTCCTGGTGAGCGGAGCCAGTATCGGCTGAGGCTCTCTGTGAAGGCTTCTGGCTCTCAGCTGCCCGTGTAGGGGCTTTCACTTGAGTTTCTGCTTCCTGAACCCTGGGGAGGAGCACCACGCGGAGCTGCTCTTTCCCTTCCCTTAGCTGCTTGCAGGCGGGGTGTCCAGATTTGTCAGGGAAACCGGTGCCCGCTTGCCCATGTTGCCGGTCCTGGGCCTCTTCAGCTCTGCCTGCTGCGAAGGGGACGCTGACGGGGCCTTCCCAGGTCGCCTTTCTCCACCTGAGCCCCCTGGCCTGGTCCGAAGTCCTCAGTACTTGATGGGGCCTCCGGGAGCCTTTCCTTTGCACACCCTGTTGGAAACCATAGGTTTGATCCAAGCCTCTCTTTGTCAGGCAGTTATTCCTCCTCATTGGGAATCTAGCTATTCCTTAGTTTTATTATGAGCGGCATGTCCTTCTCAGATTGATTTTTTTTTTTCCCTCCATTTCTACAGACTTCAGAAAAATAAAAACACACTCTTACTCTTTTCCTGCTCTTTTACCAGATGCTCAATATCCTGCAATTATTGAAAATACCAAAACAGGGGCGCCTAGGTGGCTCAGTTGGTTAAGCATCAGACTTTGGCTCAGGTCACGATCCTGTGGTCCGTGGATTCGAGCCCCACGCTGGGCACTCTGCTGCCAGCACAGAGCCTGCTTCAGGCCCTCTGTCCCCTTTCCCTCTCCCCTCCCCTGCTTGTGCTTACTCGCCTGCTGTCTCTCCCTCAAAAATAAGCATTTAAAATAAAGTACAGAATCAAAACATAGAGGTTAAACTTTATTTGTAGATAGTGAACAATTTTAAAAGTAATTTCTCACCATAAATTCAGTTTCCCTCAGGTTACTTAACATGATACTTAAAATGATACTTAATATACTGACAAAGTATATTTAATATTGGGAAGATCTTATCATTGGTAACATAATGAAATTGAACATAAGGTTGCGATGCTGATTTTGATGGTATCAGTGGCAACTTTAATGAAAAACCTAGAAGAAAGTTGAGTAACAGGCTTCACTTGATAAAAGAGTGTTTTTAGGGGCACCTGAGTGGTTTAGTTGGTTGAGCATCCAGCTCTTAATTTTGGCTCCGGTCATGATCTCACAGTTCCCTGGAATCAAGCCCCGCATGGGGCTCTGCACTGACAGCAATGAGCCTGCTTGGGGTTCTCTGTCTCCCCTTTCTCTGTCCCTCCTTCTCTCTCTCTCTTTCAAAATAAATTAAACTTATTTTTAAAAAGTTTTTTTTAATATCCTATCCCAAACAGCATTTCCTAAAGACTGCATTTAGATTAGAATTTTTTAGATTAATATTCAATTCATAATTTTTAAGGATCTCTATTTTATTAGTGTACCTCTCTTTTTGACAAAAATCTCAAAGTATTTTTAGCAGTTCATAAAGTTGTTTCTTCACAACTGAATTACTAATCTAGTAGCATAAATCTCTGTAGACAAATGAGGCTACATTTGTCTCTCTCAGCCTGCTTAATTTCCATCTTTCTTGTGTTGCTGGTATCAGCAATTTAGTATTTCAATTACTGTGTATGTATATGAAATAATATGGTAAATGCAATAGAATATTCAAGTAATTGCACAAAGATTGATGATTAAATACAGATGGCAGTCCTGAAAAGAAATATTTGTTGGCATGCAGTAATATCATGCAACATCTTAGAATTATATTCATTATCTCCTATTTGGTGTAGAGTTGCTAATATGTGAAGTTAAGAAATGCCAAATAAGTTTATATTTTCATACACATTTTTTCAAAAATTTTAAAAATGTTTTATTTATTTCTGAGAGAGAGAGGGACAGTGTGAGCAGGAGAGGGGCAGAGAGAGAGGGAGATACAGAATCTGAAACAGGCTTCACGCTCTGAGCTGTCAGCACAGAGCCCTATGCGGGGCTCGAACCCACGAACTGGGAGATCATGACCTGAGCCAAAGTCAGACGCCCAGCCGACTGAGCCACCCAGGCACTCCTCATATACGTTTTAGTGTGACATTCTCATAATCTCAGTCTTTAATTTGTAGACCCCCTCATTTTTAAAGCTATTTTAACAGTTTTTTCTTAATCTGACTACCTTCAGACTATTTTTTCACTTCTATTTGTATGATTGTGCTATCAGAAAATCCTCTTTCTTTAATGTTGTTGATGTACTCCTTTATTCGTGAATACTGCAGTAAAAAAATCAAGCTTTTAGCCTGTTTTATGGCCCTGCATCAACTTTGACATTTCCTTTTCTCTTTCATGCCTACAAGCCTCCCCTTCAGGACAGCTTAATCACACGTTGATGCTTGTCTCTATACAGTTACTACTCATGTTGCGGGACCCCCAAGGCCACTCCCGGGTTTGATGACTCGCTAGTCTGACTCCTAGGACTCGCGTTACTGGCGACTGTGATTGGTTACAGTGAAATCATCTGAGGCAGAATCCGTGAAAGGAGGGGCACGTGGGAAGAAGCGCAGGGAAAGCCAGCTGAAAGCCTGGCGAGTTCGCTTCCAGGGGAGCCACATGGGGAGCCGTTCCTTCAGCAATGGGTTCGACAGCATGTGTGATGGTGCCGCCGGAGACATTCATTAGCGACTCAGTCCAGGCTTCTTATGTGGGGGTGATCGCGTAGGCACTCCCGGCCTGGTACGTGCCCACATTCCGGTCTCCCAGAAGGAAAGGCTGTGGTGGCCATAAACCCTATTACTTATACGGGCAATTTAAGCATAGAGAGTCATTCTTGTCAGTCAGCACTGAGTACCCACCTGAAACCTAAGTTCCCAGATGCCCACCAAGGACCAGCCTGGTAGCCGTGCCTTCCCAAGAGAGGCTAGCAGTTCAGGCCTGTGATGTTAACTCTTTTTCAAACTTTTTTCTTTGTTTCAAGTTTTTGTTTCAATTCTAGCTAGGTTAACATATAGTAAAATAGTGGTTTCTGGAGTAGAATTTAGTAATTCACCACACCAGTGCTCCTCACAGGTTCCCTCCTCAATACTCATCACCCATTTAGCGCACCCCCACCTACCTCCCCTCCAGCAGTCCTTAGTTTCTCTTTTATAGTTAAGACTCTGTTAAGGCTTGCTGCCCTCTCTCTCCCCTCTCTCTCTCTCTTTTTCTTTCCTTCCCCTGTGTTCATCTCTTTGGTTTCTTAAATTCCACACGAGTGAAATCATAGAGTTTTTGTCTTTCTTTGGCTAAACTTATTTTGCTTAGCATAATTCACTCTGGCTCCATCTGTGTCGTTGCAAATGGCAAGATTTCATTCTTTTTTCCATAGTCTTTTGTTCTGTCCTCTCCATGAAATGGGTATTCCCATAAAATACTCTGGTTAATACTACAAAGTTGCATTTCACAAGACATTTTTTGAATTGGCACTATGTGGAAGACCCCAGGGTGCTACAGAGATGAATGAAATGTAGTTGTTTCATTAAAAAACAGAAAACTTTGGTGTGAGTCAGATTGTTACAAGTGCCACAGCGAACGTATAGATGAAGTGGGGTCAGAGCACAGAATAGGAATGACTGAGTAAAAGGAGATTGGTAAAGACTTTCTGCAAGTAGATACTTAGCACGGAGCCCAACATGGGGGTTGATCCCACGATCCTGGGATCTTGAGTTGAAATCAAGAGTCATGCTCAGTCGACTAAGCTACCCAGGTGCCTCTAGGGTCTTTCATTTTAATAAGAGGAAATTAACCCTAGGAGGTGAAAAGTATCCAGCAGTCAATGCAAGGCAATAATTAGGAGTTGATCTCTCTTGTCTTAGGGTCTGGGTTGAAAAAGACAAATCTGAGAATGTGGAACTACGGTTCCACACCTCACAAAGGTTTGGAATTCAAATCCAGACTACCCAAGAGGTCTGGAAACCTACAGTTTGGGCAGTTAACATACAAATTTGATCCCAGGTCATTTCCTGAGGTGCTTGGCAAAAGCCAGGCAAAACCACTGTTGAGTGATACAACATTCAAAGCACACCACACATTTCTCATGGTTGAATGCTACACTAAGGCTCAGACCTCCATGAATGAGTACAGCATATACAGCAAATTGAAGCATCAGATTTCCCCCTAAAGTTTAGCAGAGTAGAGCCCTCTGGTAGAAACTGTAAAATCAGAGTTGTTAGGGGCGCCTGAGTGGTTCGGTTGGGTCTGATTTCGGCTCAGGTCATGATCTCACAGTTCATGGGCTTGAGCCCCACAACGGGCTCTGTGCTGATAGCTCAGAGCCTAGAGCCTGCTTCGGATTCTGTGTCTCCTCTCTCTCTCTGCCCCTCCCCTGCTCATGCGCGCGCTCTCTCTCTCTCTCTCTCTCTCTCTCAAATAAATAAAAACACTAAAAAAATAAAATCAGAGTTCTTAAGATGACTGAAAACAAAAGCATAAAATATCCTAAGAGGAAAAGAATAGAATGGAAAAATTCTAGAAATAAAAATATCATTAAAATTAAAAACTTGTTCCTTGAATTAAACTGTAGATTAGACCCAGCTGATGGAGCGTTAATTGAAGTAGTTGACTTGTAGGAAATTATCTCAAATGCGGCAGAGATAAATTGAAAATGTGAAGTTGAGTCAAGTGGAAAATAGAATGAAATGACACTTTAAGTTTCTAATGAGTTGCAGATGTAAAGAACAGAAATAGGGGCTCCTGGGTGGCTCAGTCGGTTGAGCCTCCTACTTTGGCTCAGGTCATGATTTTGTGGTTCAAGAGTTTGAGCCCTGCATCCGGCTCTGTGCTGACAGCTCGGAGCCTGGAGCCTGGTTTAGATCCTGTGTCTCCCTCTCTCTCTGCCCCACTCCTGGTCACGCGCACGCTTGCATGCGTGCTCTCTCTCTTCCTGTCTCTCATAAATAAACATTAAAAAAAAATAGATTTGGGGCTCCTGGGTGGCTGATTAAGCATCCAGCTTTGGCTTAGGTCATGATCTCATGGTTCGTGGGTTCAAGCCCGATGTCAGGCTCTGTGCTGACAGTTCAGAGCCTAGAGCCTGCTTCGGATTCTGTTTTTCTTTCTCTCTCTCTCTGCCCCTCCCCTGCTTGTGCTCTGTCTTTGTCTCTCAAATGAAGAAAAAAAAAAAAAAGAAATATTGGGAAAGACAATATTCAGAAGTGTAATACTAAGACTTTTCCAGAATTTATGAAAGACATGTAAGAAGTACAATGAGTCTGGGGGCGCCTGGGTGTCTCAATCAGTTAAGTGTCCAACTTCTGTTCAGGTCGTGATCTCATGGTTCGTGGGTTCGAGCCCCGCATCAGGCTCAGTGCTGACAGCTAGTTCAGAGCCTGGAGCCTGTTTCGGATTCTGTGTCTCCCTCTCATTCTGACCCTCCCCTGCTCATGCTGTTTCTCTCTCAGAAATAAATAAAACATTAAAAAAAAAAAGTACAGGAAGTCTGAAGTCAAAAGTTAAAATAATTCCGTGTTTACTTCAGAATGAAACTGCAGAAGGACAAAGGCATAAAGAAGATCTGAAAATAGCCAAAGGTGCAAAAGGCAACAAGAAGCTATTTGAGTAATCAAGTCCAGAGCTGACGTAGGTCCAGTGTTGGAGGATGGGTCCGACCTGTCAGAGAAGTAGAGGTGGCATGATTTGGCAACACAACATAAGTTGAGTAAGAAGGTTTAGGGAAAAAAAAGGGATTTAAAAGATGTTGAGGCTTCCAGTTTGGTTACTGAGGCAGATGACAACACTTTGTTCAAGATTGGCAAAACAGAAGGACTGGAAGATTTGGGATGTGCCGCGCACAGATGGAGGAGCAGATCAGAGAAAAGCAGCATTGATTAGGACTTGGGTAAGCTTGAAGTAGCCAGGGGACGCCTACACACAGCTACCTGCAGGTGGTTAGAAATACCAAGTCAGGGTCTAGAAAGGCCGAACAGTAGAGTACACAGGTCATTTTTTTAAGTGATTTTTGAAATACTGAGATTGCCAAGGGACAGAATGCAAGGTGAGAAGAAATGCAGTATGTTTGGGAATGTGGGGCAGTGGACCTGTTCGAGACGCAGATAGAGAATGAACAGAGAGAATGGAAGAGACACGGGTGGTGTGATGCCGAGAGGCTCGGTGAGCTTTGGCCGTCTGGAGGTCCTAGAAGGAAGATAGGACGCACTCAGTACCCCGCAGCAAGGAGTTTTGACGACACGTGTGCGATGTTGCCAGTCAGCGGCGCTCATCAGAGACTCGGTGCCGACGATTTTTATTTGGGGCTGATCACGTAGGCACCCCCTGACTTTTGAAAAAGTCTTTTCTGAGTGTTAGAAGTGATCCCCAGGGGTTAGTGGTCTCAGGAACGCACGGGAAGGGAGAAATTGGAAAACACGCAAAACACTTGGACAGTAAAGGAAGAATGAAAGACATCTTTGTCTATTTTAAAACAGTTTCCCATGCCGCAATATACCATTTTAGAAACGTTTTATTGTCTGTTTAGTGTCTGTTTTAGTCTTTGAAGACAGGGACTTTATTTTTCTTCCCTCCTAATGCTGTTATGAAAACAGCAATGCTCATTAAATGAGTGAGCAGTTTTTGGTGCCACTTTATTGCCTTCCCCCAGATGGACAGCTTTCTATTTTTTCTTGAGTCCCACTCGCCCCTCTAAACTACTTTCTCTGTATTCTCTTTTGTAGCTTGCTCTTTCTTATTCATTAGTGGGATTATCTTAGGACGGTCAAGACTAAAGAGGTTTTCAGGGTTTAGACGGAAACATTAAAAGGTTTGGTTGGGGGTGTATTACTCTGTTAAATTGCTCATCTTACATCCCTAGGAGGAATATAAAAAGACAGCAACGTGAAGCAGTTGTTGGAGCCCAGTGTGGCAACGCAGTGCTCAGGGGAGCCCATGTCTACGTTCCTGGAATTGTGTCAGCTTCGAAATGTAAGTGGAACGTTTAAGCGTCTCCGTGAAAAAGGATTCTTTAAAATGTGTGTACATGATCAAGTGGAAACTTTATTGAACTATCACTCAGATGCATTTCAGGTTTATCAGATATTTTCCAGGTTTTTGCATTTGGCATCGCCGGCGAGAGATTTATCTGATGCCGTCTAACAGAGGGGGTATCGGTGTAAGGTCTCTGCAGGTTTTTTCCTTCCCTTATAAGGCTGGGTGAGCTGATCTTCAGAGGCTTGCTACTGATTAATAGAGTGTAAGGTGTCAGATTTTATTTTGCATTCTTAACTCCATTGCCTCAGACTTCTGTTGTCATTTGCGAGGGTAACTTTCGGTACCTGGAATTTTAGTACTGGAGTGAAAGTCAATATTCTTAATTTACTCCCTCAGTTGATGACATGACATTATGCTTAGTAAGTTAGCCACTGTGGTTCAACACTAATTTATTGGGCTTGAAATCAAGACAGAGGTTTGATCTATTTGGAAGTTAATTCAATCTCTGGGCTTTAGTTACCTCGACTGTGAAATCAATAATTTGACCTCCATTAGCATGTGCTAAACTACTAATGCCCACTGGCCAAGTCTGGCCAGTGTCTGGTTTTGCATGGCTCATAGCTGAAAATGGCTTTTCCATAAAAAGTAAAATATGCCGAGAGACTTGGCGTGGCTCACAAAGCCTAAGCTACTTCCCCCCCTTTACAGAAAACATTCACTGACGGCTAATCTGTGTGATTGGAACAGCTCTAGCTCTAGCTGATAGGCTCCTCACTACCGTTATCCAGGTAGATGGGCCAGATGAACTTAGGACAGGCTAGGCCCAAGAAGTGGAATACAGTTTCCATTATTAAAGTCACCAGGATTTATTACTGAAATGAATGTTTGTGCTTATCATTAACATCCCTGCCATAGTTGCTATAATAGGAAACCTGCAAAGAAATGCCAACAGCGTTATGAGATTTAGAACTATTTCCTTGAGGGATTTTAGTGTACTCTTTTGAAGAATCCCTTAAAAAAATTGAGTGAAAATGGGAGAGAGGGATGGGGGGTGCAGGGGTGGGAGAGAGAACATCTCATGCAGGCTCCTCGCTGTCAGCACAGAGCCTGACATGGGGCTCAAACTCATGAACCGTGAGATCATGACCTAAGTCGAAATCGAGAGTCAGACGCTCAACAACTGAGCCACCCAGGTGCTCTGGGATCTTTCTAAAGGAACCTTAGAACTTTGAGGATTGAGCTAAAGATACCAAAATTTAAATGAAATTTTTTAGGGAATGTTAGGTTTGGAGAAAAAATTTAAATAGGAGATAGCCTTCCTTTTCTGCTTAGCTAAAGACTTCCAAATTAGATAGAATGTTTTGAAGACTTCTGTTTTCTTGTTTTCCTAGATAAAAGTCTTCAGTTAGATTTGTTTTTAAAGAACATTTAAAAGTAAAACGTTGTGTTTTTTATAAGGGGTTATTTTGAGATAATGAGCCAGTTTAGACTTCTTCGCACCCACTACTGATGCCCTTTGATGTCCCCAGTCCACCTTAAAGAATTTTCACTATTCTCCTACCAAAATAGAGTTTAATTAGTATAATCTAATTTTCTTCTTTCTTAGTTATGAAAGCTGGAGATCTTATTTCTGTATACTCCGATATTAAAGGCAAATGTAAGAAAGGAGCCAAAGAATTTGATGGAACAAAAGTTTTTCTTGGCAATGGGATTTCTGAACTAAGCCGCAAAGAAATCTTCAGTGGGCTACCTGAACTGAAGTATGTCATCAAGTTTTGTTTGGGGGGAAATGTACATCCTTTTTGGTGATTCAAAGAAAATAAAAACAATGTAAAAATAGATCTAGTTGCATTATAAAAAAATTTTTGGTACAAATTCAACTGGAAAATAATTTTTCAGTGCATATTTCTATGGTTTTCTTTGAAAAATTACTTTTAGGTGAAAGAGTAACTGTTTAGATGACTCAGGGCCCTGAGCGAGAACATAGTCACGCTGTAATTGTCAGTTTCAGTTTTCCTTGTGAATTTTATTGATTTGAAAAATGGTTGCATCTTTGGGGATTAGTACTCATCTTGGAAAAGGGTAAATTGTGACCTATCCAGAGTTTTTCAAACAATCTGACTCTGTGAAAGGAAAAGCTTATGATTTTAATAAAACTTAAAATGCAAAAAATTTATATTAAAGGAAATGTTACCAGAAAGCCACCTGGCTACTTGTGGTCAAGAATTAATATTTGGATTTACTCAAACCCAGCTAAGACACAGTTAGTGTGGCATCATCTCGGGTTGCTACTGGTTCTAAACACGTCAGATCTGTGGGCGATCCAGGGTCGTCTTTTGCTTCACACTTCACATGTCAGCCTGTTTATAAGGAGCTCTTTGGATGGCTCCTTTACCCCCCTGCAGATGGCTAATGTAGTCATGCTGAAAGCTGTGAGTTTGTCCCCAGAGAGCTGGACCACGTCCCTGATCCTGGGACAGTTTTCACGTTGCAGTGATTTGGGTTTATGATCAAAATTACTGCTTCTGAAGAAACAGATTATTTGATTAACTAACTATAGAAAGCAGCAATTTCCAAAGAGCAGAGATCTTATTCTCTTTAGAAGGCTTATGAAGATGAAGCATATGTATGTTGTGTTTTTCTTTGGGTCTGAAATAGGGAGTCAATGCTTTGATTACCTCCTTCAGTTCTATTATTATGGTACATGCCTCATCCTCTGTGTGCGTGCGTGCATGTGTGTGTGTGTGTGTGTGTGTGTGTGTGACTGGCTTCATTTTTTTTCTTGAAGGATAACTGACATACAATATTGTATTTCAGATATACAGCACAGTGATTCAATATTTATATATATTAGAAAATAGTCACCACAATAAAGTGTTACCATCTGTGGTCATACAAAGTTGTAACAATATTATTGACTGTATTTCCTATGGTGTACCTTACATCCCATGTTTTATTGGTAACTATTTTATTTTTAAAACTTTCTTTAGGTTTATTTATTTTTGAGAGAGAGAGAGGGAGAGAGAGCGAACACAAGTGAGGGAGGGGCAGAGAGAGAGATGGGGAGACACAGAATCTGAAGCAGGCTCCAGGCTCTGAGCTGTCAGCACAGAGCCCAACGTGGGGCTGGAACCCATGGGAACCGTGACATCATGACCTGAGCCAAAGTGGGACGCTTAACCGACCGGACCACCCAGGCGTCCCGACATCATGACCTGAGCCAAAGTGGGACGCTTAACCGACCGGACCACCCAGGCGTCCCTTTGGATAACTTATTTAATCTTATTTGTAACTTATTTAACACCCATAACCTAATCCTGGTAACTCATTTATAACTGGAAAATTAATCCTTTTCACCTATGTTTTTCATTATTGCCACCCCCTTCTTTCTGGTACCCATCAGTTCTCTGTATCTATGATTCTGTTTCTGTTGTATTTGTTCATTTGACTGTTAGATCCCACATACAAGTGAAATCATACGGTATTTGTCTGACCTACTTCACTTAGCATAGTACTCTTGAGGGCCATCCATATTGTCATGAATGGCAAGATTTCATTCTTTTTTGTGACCGAGTAATATTCCTGTGTGTATATGTATATATACCACATTTTCTTAATCCATTCATCTATCAGTGAGCACTTTTCTTCTTGTGATTGATTTCTAGTTTCTTGCAAGTGATTTCTAGTTTCATACCGCTGTGGTAGAAAGAGAAGCTTGACATGATTTCAGTCTCGTTAAATTTATAGAGATTTGTTTTGTGGCGTAACAGGTGGTATGTCTAGGAAAATGTTAAATGTATACTTGAGAAAAATGTGTAGCCTGCTGTTTGGGGTTGCAATCTTCTGTATGTAACAAGTTGAACTGATTTGATGTGTTATTAACAGCTGTCGTTGCATTATTTTCTGTCTGGGTGATCTATCCATTGATGTACATGTGGTGTTAAAGTCCTCTACTGTTATTGCTATTATTACTGATTGTCTTTATGATTATTTAATGCTCTTCTTTGTCTGTTACAGTCTTTTTGTTTTAAAGTTTCTTTTGTCTCATATAAGTATTGCTTCCCCAGCTTTCTTTTTGTCTTCATTTGCATGGAATATTTTTTTGTAGCCCTTTACTTTCAGTCTTTCTTTGTCTTTGGGTCTGAAGTGAATCTGTTGTAGTTACCATATAGTTGGGTCTTGTTTTTATCCATTCACTCATGTTATGTGTTAAAAAAAAATTTTTTTTTTAGTGTATTTATTTTGAGAGAGAGCGAGGGAAAGAGAGAGAAACAGTGTGAGTGAGGGAGGGGCAGAGAGAGGGGGAGAGAGGAAATCCCAAGCAGGCTCTGTAGCACTGTCAGCACAGAGCCTGAAACGGAGCTAGAACTCATGAAACGGGGAGATCATGACCTGAGCTGAAACCAAGAGGAGGCTTAATTGTCCCGAGCCACCTAGGCACCCCCGCTCGTGCAGTGTGCTTTGCTCATTTAGCTCATTTTAATTTATATGGTACTTACTGCTATTTTGTTACTTGTTTTCTGATTGTTTTTGTAATTCTTTGTTCTTCTCTTGGGATTTGATGATTTTAGTGTTATGGCTGGATTACATCCTCTTTGTTTTTAGTATTTCTATCATAGGTTTTCAGTTTGTGGTAACCATGAAATTCATATATAATCTATGTATATAACAGTGTATTTTAAGTTGGTGATTGCTTAAGTATGAACACATTCCAAAATCACTACATTCCCGCCCCCCGACCCAGCAGCATTTTATGTTTATGCCATCATATTTTACATCTTCTTCTTGTATGTATTTCTTATCTAAATTATTATAGGTTGAATTGATTTTACCACTCTTGTCTTTTAACTTTGAGACTTTTCACCTTTTCTAAGTGGTTGATCCACTACCGTTAGTATATATTTGCTTTTACCAGTGAGATTTTTTTCTTTTATAGATTTTTATGTCTAGTTGTGGCCTTTTCCTTTTTGTTTAAAGAAGTCCCTTTAATATGGTAAACTTAATTTAGTGGTGCTGATCTCCTTTCGCTTTTGCTTCTCTGGCAACTCTCTGTCTTCCCTTCAGTTGTAAATGATAACCTTGCTGGCTAGAGTATTCTTGATTGTAAGCTTTGACTCTATCATGGCACTCACTCCCTTCTGGCTTGTGAAGTTCGTGCTGAGAAACTGGCTGGTGGCCTGATGGGTGGGCCAGGGTGGGGGTGGGGGTGGGGTGGGGTGGGTGGGTTCCTTTATATGTAACTGATGCTTTCTTTTTTTTTTTTTTCTTTTTTTGCTGCTTTTAAAATTCTATTTTTATGTTTTTAAATTTTTGACATTTTAATTATAATGTGTCTTGGTGTGGATATCTTTGGGTTCATCTTTTTTTTTTTTTTGGATTCTCTATTTTTCCTAAACCTGGATGTCTGTTTTCTTGGCCACATGAGGGACATTTTCATCTACTACTTCTCAAATAAGTTGTCTGCCTCTTGCTCTGTCTCTTCCTCTGGAGACTCCTACAAGGGGAATGTTAGTGCACTGATGTTGGCCCAGAGGTCCCTTAAACTGTCCTTATTTTCATATTCTTTTTTCATTTTTTGTTCAGTTTGGGTAATTTTTACTACCCTGTTTTCCAGATCACTGCTCTGTTCTTCTGTATCATAATCTGCTGTTTATTCCCTAGAGTGTATTTTTATTTCTGTTATTCTTCACCTCTGATTGGAACTTTCTTTTATTTTTGTTGAAATTCTCACTGTGTTTATCTATTTTTCTTCCACGTTTGATGAGCAGTTTGATGGCCATTACTTTGGACTTTTTATTGGGTTGATAGCTTATCTCCACTTCATTTAGTTCTTTTTCCGACATTTTGTTTTCTTTTGTTTGGAACATAGTCTTCTGTCTCCTCATTATGCCTAACTCTGTGCTTGTTTCCATCTACATCTCCGGGTCTTAAACGGGTGGCTTTATGTAAGAGATGACTGTAGGGGCCAGAGGTGCAATTCCCTCACGCTGGCCACCAGTCACAGGTGCTTCACGGGTGTTCCCTGAGTGGGACATGTGTGTCCTCTTCTCGTGGCAGCCCCTGAGCAGCACCAGGTGCATTCTTGGGTGAGGCTGGCTTCCCTCCCCCGCCTGGGTAGCTGGAGGCCCATCCCTGATGGCTACAAGTAGGCTGGTGGGCGCAGTTATCACCCTGTAGACTGCAAGGCCCTGCAGAGGGGCAGGGTGGTAAGGGGTTCTCAGTGAGGTGCGCATCCTGGCTTCAGCAGCCTAGAGGGAGGATTTCAAAATGGGGCCTGTCATCCCAGCCTCAGCAAGGCTGTCCCCAGTGTCTTACTCTCCAGGGAGAGTCCTCCCCATCCCCTTCAGAAGGTGCTCCAAGATTAGTAAGTAGGTCTACTTCTCTGGTGTATGTGCTTTGTGATCTGACTCTGATCTTTTTTGATCTTTCTGATGTGTTTTTTTTTTTTTTTTATCTGATCTGCAACCATTTGTACTGGTGTCTGGGCTGAGTCTGTGTGCAAGCATTTTTTGAGTGGGTTTTCCTTTCCCTACAGTTCTGCAGTTTTCTTGGACATACTGCCTGTTGGGTTTTATTTATTTATTTATTTATTTATTTATTTATTTAAAATGTTTTATTTATTTCTGAGAGAGAGACAGCATGAGCAGGGGAGGGTCATAGAGAGAGGGAGACACAGAATCTGGAGCAGGCTCCAGGCTCTGAGCTAGCTGTCAGCACAGAGCCTGACATGGGGCTTGAATCCATGAACCATGAGATCATGACCTGAGCCAAAGTCTGACGCTTAACTGACTGAACCACCCAGGCGTCCCTGCCTGTTGGATTTTAAAGCCAGCTGATTTGGAAGCTCATCTCTCCATGCAGGATCTAGGGCTCCATGCCCGATGTGGAGCATGGATCTCTTGGGGAGATAAGATTCCTTTGAGGTCCCTTCTGACCATGGAATGCTATTCCTGGGGTGTGGTTTTTTTTCTTATCAAGAATGTATCTCTGCCATTTCTACACATCTTGCTGCTGTCTCTTGTTGTGGGGGCTTTGTTCCTCAAGCTCCTAAGTCCCCTTCAGAAGGAATTATGCCATATGTAGCTAGCTGTACATTTGTTGTGTCGGTGGGAGGAGGTGAGCTCAGAATCTCTTTACTCTGCCATCTTTATTCTGCCATCTTCATTCTCTCATATTATTCAGAACTACTACACTGAAGAAGTGGTGGTAGTAGTAGTAGATCCAGTGACTTTGCTGACAGACTTTTCTGAGTAATGTTTCTTGATGGGAGTAGCAGGAGGCCATCTTTCAAAAAACTGCTCATTTTTAAACTCAACTTTTAAACTCCATGTCCAGTTATGCTGTTAGCATTTCTTTCTCTGTCTCTGTGAGGAGAAGCATGTTTCTATAAGAAAGGAATGTTACGCATATACCATGTTTCTCGTAGAATTTTAGAACTACGTCTACTAGTAGTATTCTGTTATTCAACTAGTAAGTTTGTGCCCTTTGCCTTCTTGAATTATAACACAGTTGCATCTTAGACTTCATAGAGGCAGATTAATTTACTAACAGCCTCTTTATCATATGAGATCTGGTGCATTGAGATAGACGTTACAAAAATGTTTTCTTTTAAGTTAAATACTATATAGATGAATGTACTTGTGCTGGTGGTCAGAAGGAGATACCCAAATAGCAGAACTTGAAACACTAGGTAGAACTGGGTTAGAAAGGCAGGCTTACAAATGTTCACGCTTGAGTATTTTTCAGAGGACTAGTGTCCTTCGAGTCAAAAGTCATTTAAATTACAAAAGAGTGGGCAGGTTGGTCGTGGCATTCAGGGTGTTCAATAATAGGTCCGGACTCTGGTCAGAGGGGTGAGGTGTTGATCAAGGTCAGTATACCAGTTGTACCAACAGATGGTATGAGGCTTTTGAATATGAGGCTGTGACTTTTCAGAACATTCCTTTGTGTTTTTTCCTGGTTGGGGACAGCAACTGTGCAGGAAGTGGTTAGATTTGATCCCGGCTGGAGCAAGGACCAAGAACTTAACAGATTAACTAACTCTGATTAAGAGTAAAGATGCAGACATATCAAGTGGTAAACAAATGAGTGAGGATGAAAAGGAGTTCATATTTATTGAATGACAAAGGGTGTTAGAACTGAGTGGACATTGTAGTCATACCCACTTCAGTGGCAGTCCACGGAGAGCTACAGAAATTATTTCACTCTAAAAGGCAGCATAAACTTACCCTTTTGAGGCATAATAATTTGGTCTTTGGGGTCCTGGGACACAACCCCCCAAGTCCTCGGAACCTCCGTAGTGATGAGTGTCTTCTGTATGCTAGTGAGAAGACTGGTAGCTGGGAGGGTCCTAGGTAGCATCTGGATGACACTTGAGAGAGAAACCAATCTTGTGGTGAGAAGGTTGGAACTTTTAGCTCTACCCCTGGACCTCTAAGGAAGGGAGAGAGATTCACTGAATCAGTGACTTAATCAGTCATGCCTGTGTAATGAAACCTGCATAAAAATTCTCGGATGCTGGGGGTCAGAGAGCTTCCAGGCTGGGAAACAATGGAGGCGCTGGGAGGGTGCTGATGCATCGCCTCTCCCGTACCTTCTCCAGCGCATCTCTTTGATTTGGCCAGGACTAACTTGTATCCTCCGTGGCAAACTAGCAACAGGAAGTGCTTTTCTGAGTTCTGTGAGTGCTAACGAATTTTCAAACCTGAGGACACTGTGGAAACCTCCAGATTTATAGCCAGTTGGCCAGAAGTACAGGTGGCACCTGGGGGTGTGCAGCTGGCATCTGGAGTGAGACCAGCCTCGATGGCTTGAACCGTTGAGCCTGTGCCGTCTCCCGACAACCCCGGGCAGCGAGAGCCAGCACTGAACGGAATTACAGGAGCCCCGGGTGGTGTGAGAGAAAACCCTGCGCATTTGGTGGCAGGAGCGTGGTGAGTAAAATTAGCCCGTCTGCCTACGTCATGCAGAGCGCAGACCATCGGGGTAGATGCTTCTGTGCCAGGGTTGCTTCAGAAGCCGTGAGTTTGTTCTTGTTCTCCAGGCTTAGACACTACACTTGTGCCCCCGTAGCTGGTGTCAGTCCCGTTCTCATCCTTGCCTTTATCACTACATTGCGCTTTTCCTGTGCCCCTGGGATCCCTGGGAGAGTCGATGGCTTTTTTCTTCCTCTCGATGGGGTGGCCTGATACACGAGGCCATGTTTGGCATTCTCTTAACTGTTTGTGTGCTTCCTCTTGCCTTTGATGGTCTCTGACAGCCTCTCTCAGATTGTGATGTTTGTCCTAATGAATCACCACCCACCATGCTCTCCTGGGCCCTTGCCCTTCCTGCTCTGATCATTTCCCCTGCACCTTACAAAGTGGGACAAAGCTCATTGTGAGGACTGTGTCACTACTGGGCACTTACTCTCTAAAGAGTTGAGAGTTGTGTGGCATGTTTGTTGCTTAACATGGGTGATTCTTATTTTTGTTTTTCATACAAGCACCTAGCATAGTGCCGTACAAACTGAAGGATTCAGAAACTTGTGAATTAAAAGCTATTAACATGGCCATGAATCTGTTACCAGAAAGATTAGAATGAATCAATAAATAAAGACTCGGATGTCAGTCAAAGAAAGACAAATACCATATGATCTCACTCATGGGGAATTTAAGAAACAAACAAAGGGAAAAAGACAAACCAAAAACCAGGCTCTCAACGATAAAGTGCAAGCTGATTGTCACCAGTGGGGAGGTCAGTGGGGGAGAGGGGACGAGTGAAATAAATGAAGGGGATTAAGAGCACACTTATTCTGATGAACACTGAATAATGTATAGATTTTTTTGAATCACTATATTGTACACCTGCGACTAATACAGCACTGTATACTGGAATTAAATAACAATAAAACCATTGTATATTATGTAAATAACATTTTAAATAACTGGATTTTTTTTTTAAGACTAAAGATGTTCTTTGCTTTTTTCAGTTTGTTCAGATCTCTGAAAAAACTCTCTTGTGCCTAAATGAAAAATTTATGTAACTTAATCCTTTTTAGTTTTCCTGATGGCCTTCTACTGCAAGGAATGAGTCATAGACGATTCACAGGAATATCCGAAGTATCGTGGTGTTGAGTTAAAGAGGTTTTAAAAAGGCAGAACATCCTATATTTGTTGGGCTGCTTGGGTATGTTCCCAGAAATGGAGTTTGTATAGACCGTGGAATTGATACAGACTAATGTAAGATTTTCTGCTTTTCAGAGGTATAGGCATAAGAATGACGGAACCAATATACCTCAGCCCCTCATTTGACAATGTACTGCCCAGCTTCTTATTTTTACAGGTAAGAATTTGTCCAAGTAAAATATTTATTGACATTGAAATGTAACTTCGGTGAGTTATTTCAAATCCAGTGTGGTTTTTTTTTCTATTACCCTATTTATTGTGGTTTATTTTTCTGATCTACCTTTTGTTAATAAGCAGTAAGAAAAAAACTGTGTACATACTCTCTTTTTCTCAACTGATATTTTCCCCTAATGTTTATTGTTGAGAGAGAGTGCAAGTGGGGGAGAAGCAGAGAAAAGGGGGGGACAGAGGATCTGAAGTGGGCTGTGCGCCCATAGCAGCGAACCGATGCTGGGCTCCAGTTCATGGACCATGAGATCATGACAGGAGCCGAAGTCGGAAGCTCAACCGACTGAGCCTCCCAGGCGCCCCTCAATTGAATTTTAAACTTTTTTTAACCTTATGTTGCCCAAAAGTGCTTTGATAGCTTATTGTAATCATTTTCCATCTCAAAATATTAATCCCGAGGGACACCTGGGTGGCTCAGTTGGTTAAGCATCCAACTTCCACTCAGGTCATGATCTCACAGTGTGTGGGTTCGAGCCTCCCATTGGGCTCTGTGCTGACAACTCAGAGCCTGGAGCCTGCTTTGGATTCTGTCTCTCCCTCTCTTCTCTCCTGCTTGTGTTCTCTCTGTCTACCAAAAATAAACATTAAAAAAAATTAATCCCAAAATAATGCATGTATTGGTACACATTTAAGTATCATCTTGGTAACTTTGAGATGCAAATGGTTTATTACTAACATACTTTTTGTCAGTTGGTTATCACTAGTTATGATATGACAGTTTTGCGGTGTCCAGTCTCGCAGATGGCAACTCATTTGATTGTTACAGTTCACTGGTTATGTGGTATTAATGTTATTATTCCCAGTATATAATGAAGATAGCGAATATCAGATCTGTTAGGTTTCTTGAACAAGGTCATATACAGTTAGTAATTAGTAATGTCTGAACCCTGACCTGAAGGCACATGCTGTTTACTCTCTGCTCTACCCAGTATTTAATCGTAAGACATAAATCCAAGGATTATTTCTAGGAAAACAGATTTACATTTATTATCTGATTCCATAATAGTGATGGTGTAATACATAGAATATGTAACCTGCTATATAGTTATACGCTATTATACAAATTCTTTCTTCTTCAGTTATCTGTGCCAGCCACCCTCCACCTTTGTTTTATTTATTTATTTTTGGTTTACATCTGTACATGGCATATAGTGCAACAATGATTTCAAGGGTAGATTCCTTAATGCCCCTTACTCATTTAGCCTGCCCGTCTCCCACAACCCCTCCAGCAACCCTCTGTTTGTTGTCCATATTTTAAAGTCTCTTATGTTTTGTCCCCCTCCCTGTTTTTATATTGTTTTTGCTTCCCTTCCCTTACGTTCATCTGTTTTGTATCTTCAAGTCCTCATATGAGTGAAGTCATACAATATTTGTCTTTCTCTGACTGATTTCACTTAGCAGGATACCCTCTAGCTCCATCCACACAGTTGCAAATGGCAAGATTTCATTCTTTTTGATTGCTGTGTATTACTCCATTGTGTATGTATGTGTGTGTGTATGAATACATAAAGAAGATGTGTATATATATGTATATCGATGGACATTTGGGCTCTTTCCATACTTTGGCTGTTGTTGATAGTGCGGCTATAAACATTGGGATGCATGTGTCCTTTCGAAACAGCATACCTCTATCTCTTAGGTAAATACCTAGAAGTGCAATTGCTGGACTCTAGGGTAGTTCTATTTTTAATTTTTTGAGGAACCTTCATACTGTTTTCCAGAGTGGCTGCACCAGTTTGCATTCCCACGAGCAGTGCAAAAGAGATCCTCTTTCTCTGCATCCTTACCAATATCTGTTATTGTCTGAGTTGTTAATGTTACCCATTCTGACGGGTGTGAGGTGGTATCTCATTGTGGTTTTGATTTGTATTTCCCTAATGTTGAGTGACATGGAGCATAGTTTCATGTGTCTATACGCCATCTGGCTGTCTTTGGAGAAGTCGTGTCTGTTCATCTCTTCTGCCCATTTCTTCACTGGATTATTTGTGTTTTTGGGTGTTGAATTTGATAAGTTCTATATAGACTTTGGATACCAACCCTTTTTTTTTTATTTTTTTTTTTAATTTTTAATGTTTTATTTCTTTCTTTTTTTTTTTTTTTTACAAATAGTTTATTGTCAAATTAGTTTCCACATAACACTCAGTGCTCATCCCCACAAGTGCCCTCCTCCATGCCCATCCCTCCTCCCCCCCACATCCATCAGTCCTCAGTTTTTGTCAGCATTTAAGAGTCTCTCATGGTTTGCCTCTCTCCCTTTCACCCACCATTTCCGCCCTTCTTCTCCCGGTTGGTCCTCTGTTAAGTTCCTCCTAGTACTCCTATACGTGCACACATATGATATTTGTCCTTCTCTGCCTGACTTATTTCGCTCAGCATAACACCCTCAAGGTCCATCCATGTTGCTACACATGGCCAGATTTCATTGTTTCTCATGGATACCAACCCTTTATCTGATACGTTGTTTGCAAATATCTTCTTCCATTCCATCGGTTGCCTTTTAGTTTTGCTGATTGTTTCTTTTGGTGTTCAGGAGCTTTTTATTTTGATGAGGTCCCAATAGTTAATTTTTGTTTTTGTTTCCCTTGCCTCCAGAAAGGTGTTGAGTAAGAAGTTTCTGTGGCCAAGGTCAAAGAGGTTCTTGGCCTGCTTTCTCCTTGAGGATTTTGATAGCTTCCTGTCTTACATTTAAGTCTTTCATCGATTTGAGTGTATTTTTGTATATGGTGTACGACAGTGGTTCAGGTTCATTCTTCTGCATGTTGCTGTCCAGTTTTCCCAGCACCACTTGCTGAAGAGACTGCTTTTATTCTATTGAATATTCTTTCCTGCTTTATCAAAGATGAGTTGGCCATATGTTTGTGGGTCCATTTCTGGGTTCTCTATTCTGTTCCATTGATCTCAGTGTCTGTTCTTGTGCCGGTACCATACTGTCTTGATGATCACAGCTTTGTAATACAGCTTCAAGTCTGGGATTGTGATGCCTCCTGCTTTGGTTTTCTTTTTCAAGATTGCTTTGGCTATCTGGGATCTTTTCTGGTTCCATTCAAACGTTAGGATTCTTTGTTCTAGCTCTGTGAAGAACGCTGGTGTTATTTTGATAGGGATTGCATTGAATATGTAGACTGCTTTGGGTAGTATTGACATTTTAACAATATTTATTTTTCCTATCCAGGAGTATGGAATCCCCCTTTGTTTTAAAGTTTGGTGTTGTGCTAGGTGCTTTGAATATATTATTACAAGCATTCACTAGCTTACACCTAAGGACAACTGATACTGTTAGTTGAATGATGTTCAATAACCATTTAACTTGTGAAATAAAGTAGTTCATGTGATGACGGGCTGAAGAAATTCACCTTAAAAGAAATCATATTTTGTAAGCAAGAGTTTGGCAACTGGTAGCCTTTATCCATTCTACCTACTTAGTGAAGCTGCTTTATAGACTGGGTGGAATTAGAAAGCTATTGGAAAAATTCCTGGGGAAATTTGTGCTTTTTTTTTTTTTTTTTCCTTTTTTGACTGCCTCTTGGCCTTGCCATTATCTCCAAATCTCTATTCTTTGTTGCTTCTAACAGCTGATGCAAAAGCTTTGCATTGTAGGCTTTTTTTTTTTTTTTTTTTTTGCTGGGGTATGTGTATGTGTAAGGGGCTATTGATAACTGATTGTTTTTCATTTTAGTACCTGAAGTTATACTAGAATATGTTTTTCAGAGTGAATTGGAGTGTTGTGTACAATCATTAAAACTACAACTGTATAATACCATTTGGTTTTTCAAAATCAAAAGGAAACTTTTGAATTGCTTAAACACAGTCCACAGAATCTCAAAATAATCGTAGGTGTCCTTCACATTTGAAATAATTGTTAAAGGTTTAGCACTTAAATACTTATAAGAACTGCTTTCAGTTAAATTCTAATAACATTTTAGTTTAGCTGGAATAAAACATAGTGCCTGAAACTTAATTTTCTCATTGCCTGGTTCCTTGCAAATAATTAATTTAAGGGCCAGATGAGGTTGGACAACCTAAGGAGCTTTTAAATAGATACTACTGCCTGGACACTAGCACCAGAATTGGTTTCAGTTGGTCTGACGGGGGTGGGGCCTGGGTCTGGATGATTAAAAGCTCTTCCAGGTGATTCTCATGTGCAGTTCAGGCTGAGAATCACTATAGCAGAGCCATGGGGTGCATCTGGCTCCACGTTAGAATCCCCTGGGGTGATGTTGCAAACACTGGTGCCTGGGCCATATTGCCAGAAATTCTGGTTTAACTACTCTAGATCAGGACTATACACTTTTGACAAACTCCCTAGGTGATTCTCTAGTGTAGCTAGGGTTAAGACATACTGTAGAGAAAGGTAATTTAGTAGATTAAATTATTTCAAGAAAACTTTGTCATCATTTAAATATTGAATAAAGCCTTTTTATTTGGACTGTCTGATAATTTCAGTTTATTGCACTGCCAGAAGGCTCTTAATGTATTACTTACGTTTGATTGTAAAGTTCTGTCATCTTTGACCAGGAATCACCGAATCTCCCATAGCCACATAATATTGGAGTTCAATTTTTAAATATTTTGGGGATAAATTAGACCATTTGAGAGAAGCTCTGTAACAGGGTAAGCTAAGTTTAGTGTTTAATGTGGAGGGATAGCTCTTCAGGTGCCAAAATGATTTGCATCGATTTGAATGCTTCCTATACCCATAGGGGGCGCCCTTGCGCATTTGTGTCTCCTTTCTCACTGTTGATTCTGTTTTCAAGTGGTGATCTTGGATTTACTTGAGAGCATTGTAACCTTCTCCCAGTTCTTGAGAACATCCTAATAGATACAATTCCAGTGTGAGAACGAATTGACACCTTTAAACCTTAAATAGCTCTGTGCTTGTTAGCCTCTGTTGTTGTTTTTTTCTTGCCAATTAAAAAAAAATGCATTACTTTAAAGGAAATGCAGTACTTTGCGATATTCTAGCTTTTAAACAATATTTATTTATTTTGAGAGAGAGCATGTGTGCACAAGTGGGGAAGAGGCAGAGAGAAAGGAGAGAGAATTCCAAGCATGCTCCATGCTGTCAGTACAGAGCCCAGTGCAGGACTTGAACTCACGAACCATGACTTGAGCTGAAATCAAACATCGGACGCTTAACTGACTGAGCCATCCATCCCGGTATTTCTATTTTATTTGAGGCAAACTGTTATTCTAGAATAGCAGTCCTTACATGATCAATACTAATAATGAGTTAACATATAACTTACTGCAGTATAACTTACTGCTATGGGTATTTGAGTTGTCTGGTCTCATAGTACATTTCTAGGTGCCAATCAGAAATGGTAAGATTTTTTTACATTTTACTTTTCTCCTACAGAAATGTGGTAATGGTGGGGAGATGGGAACCCAAATGCCTTTGAGTGGCATTAGCAGCATAAAATTAGAATTCTTAAGTGGGCGTTAGATGGTGAAGCGCCTGAATTGCAAAATTTTATACATTTTCTTAGAGAAAAATCTAGAGATTTCTTACATTTCTAAAAGGGCTTTGGCCTTCAAAATGTTGAGAATTGTTGGGGTACCTGGTGGCTCAGTTGGTTAAGCATCTGACTTTGGCTCAGGTCATGATCCTAATGGTTCATGAGTTCGAGCTCCACATCAGGTTCTGGGCTGAGAGAGCCTGCTTGCAATTCTCTCTCCCTCTCTCTCTACCCATCCCCTGCATGCGCGCGCTCTCTCTCTCTCTCTCAAAATATACAAACTTAAAAAGATACTGAATTGTTGAGAAAAAAACAATGATTTTGCTAAATTGCTTGGGGAAATGCATCTGTGTATGTGTGTCTTGTGTGTGAAGTTCCTATGAGATCTTAGGATAGATAATCTAGGAAATTGTGAATTTCCTGACACTATTATGTTAACAGAAACCATATTTTGGCGGAGGATGCTGTCCTGGACTACCTCCAAAGATTTGTTTGTGTTCTGTGATTCTGAATTTTAAAATGATTTAGAATCATTAGGGGCACCTGGGTGGCTCAGTCGGTTAAGCATCCCACTCTTGCTCTCCATTTGGGTGTTGATCTCAGGGTCTTGAGTTTAAGCCCTGTGCTGGGCTCCGTGCTGGGCTCCGCGCTGGGCATGGAGCCTACTTTGGAAAAAAAAAAAAAGATTTAGAATCATTGGTAATTGGTTTTTTTTTTCTTTATAGAATTTGCCATCTGCTGTAGTAACTCATGTTCTGGATCCTCAACCTGGAGAGAAGATTCTAGATTTGTGTGCTGCACCCGGAGGCAAAACAACACACATTGCAGCACTAATGCAAGATCAGGTAAGACTATCTTCATAGCAAACACTATTCTAAACATATTATGTATTTCAGTGTTGAAGGTGGAACTACATATAACTTAGGAAACACACAGACGTTTATGATCTGCATTATTTCAGATGCATTATTTCAGATGCATCTCTTCATTGATGGGATTCATCACATGTTGAGTTTAGTACATAATTATCATTTGTGAAGACTGTCTAAAGATCTTCTTAAATCCCAAATTTGCTAATAGATTTGTAAAGTAGAAGTCTTCTTCATAAAGATACATTTAAATGAAACATTTAAGAGGTTTTTTCTATGTTCTTAAGTATGACTTGATACTTTTTAAACTATTCAATTTCGCCAGTAAAAGTTAATTTGACAGCACATTACTGAAGTATCAGATTATTCATTGATATATACATATGTACATATATGATCCACACACATCAAACACATCTTGAGATTTATGAAAAACTTTATGATCTGTCTTAATTATAAAGCTTGTTTTATTGTCACAAAATAGAGTGAGTCATGGATAACTTTATCTCAGATTTACTGCTTTTACCTATGTGTTTATATATTTATATATATGCCAGTATGTTTTCTTTCATTATTGGTTAGTCTTGTCTATTTAGAATTCAGTGTGACCTTGTAAGCTTTCTATACTGCAACTGCGATTCTTCAACTCAAGAGGATACAGCCAGTTGATGATGCCATCTTTCTTCTTGTTTCAAATTCCATACAATTAAATGGTTCCTGAAATACTGAGACATGCTAGTATCTTCACCTACTTTGATCTGAAGTCGGATTTTGATTGGTTGGTTGCTTAAACAGATACTTAGTACTCCCATGTGCGGAGTACTGAACAGATACTTAGTACTCCCTTGCCGAGTACTGAACAGATACTTAGTTAGTACTCCCGTGTGCCAAGTACTGAACAGATACTTACTTAGTACTCCCATGTGCCGACTACTGGGAGTGCAGCAGTAGACCACAGTGACCGGAATTCCCTTCATCTAGCTTGCGTTCTGGTTATGAGCAGACTGATACTAAACTAAATGAATACAGGATATGGCCTCTGTGATTATGGTAAGGGCTGTGGTGAGAAATGAAAGAAGGTGAGGGGAATTGGGGGAGGGGAGGGAAGGTGAGGACACAGTTTGAAGGAGGGTGGTGAGGGAGATCCGCACTGGGAAGGCAACTTTTGAGGAAGGGCTGGGAGGTGATGAGCAACATGGAGGTCTGTGAAACGGGTGTTTTAGTGAGAGGAAACAGCAAGTGTAAGTGTGCCGAGGCCGGAAGGCACCTGCCTTGTTTGAGAAGCCTCTGTGGTCTTCTGAGGAGGAAGGGAGGGGAAGAGCCGTCAGAGAGGTAGGGCCCAGGGGAGGACATTCGGGTAGAGCAGCTTGCAGGGTCTGACAGGACTTCTTCCCCGGCACTTGGGTGATGGGAAGTCGTTGCAGGTTTTGAACACAAGAGTGGCATCAGCCTCCTTGCTATTTGAAGTATCATTGTGGCCACTGCACTGAAAAGAAGCTGTAAGAGGCTGTGGGTGCCTGGTTAGGAGACCGTAATTCTGGGACGGGTCGTGGAGGCGGTAGATTCTGGAGTGGTTTTTGAGGAGTGGGGTTGTAAGGAGTTGCAGATGCACTGGATGTGGGTTGTGGAAATGAGAAAATAATCAAGGGTGACTTTTCTACATTTGGGCCTGAGAAAGTAGAGAGAGAGAGAGAGCTAGGTAGGGGTGACTGGGAGGAGCAAGTTCTGCAGAGAAAAGTCAGAACCTGAGTTTTGGAGATAATAAAATGAAGTGTCTGTCAGATTTTAAGGGGGTGATGTCGAGCAGGCAATTGGGTGTTTGAGCCTGGAGTTCAGGAGAGAGGTCTGGACTGGCAATAAAACTTTGAATTGGAAATGTGAATATATACAACACAGAAATTTTAAGTCGTCAGCATATAGATAACGCGTAAAGCCATAAAACTAGCGTGGGTGGCAATAGAGAGCAAAGAGGCCAGAAGACTGAGCCACCTGGGTACCATGTGCCAACATTCAGAGGTTGGGGAAAGGTGGAGGAGTGGCCAGCGGTGTCAGAGGGAAACCAGAGGAGCGTGCTACCCTGGAAACTAGGTGAAGGAGGGGACCGAAAGGCAATGGAGAGATCAGCGGTGTCAGATGTTGTTTCCGCCCCATAAAAGGAGGACTGAGAAGTACCAGTGGACTTAGCACCACGTAGGTGATGGCCGAGCTTCTCGTGAGCAGTTTGGTGAGTGGAAATGTTTGCTTGGATTGAGAATGAGAGATCTGAAATGTGAATCAGAACCACTCCTTTGGTCCTGGGTGGGGCGGGGTGGCGGGAAGTAGTTACTTGTACAGGAGTGCAGTGAAATGGGACAGCAGTGGGAGGTGAACTCAGGGAATACTTTTTTTGGGATGAGAGAAATGATAATGATTATATGCTAATGAGAGATGACGTAAGAGGGGAAATAGGTAACACCAGAGGAAGCAGGGAAAATTGCTGGGTGGTATCTTTGAGGAGGTGACATGGGCTAAGATTTGATGCACAAGTGGACGGCTTATCCATGGAAATAGGAAGGGAGGCTGAGTACGAGGTGCTGATGTTGGTGGGCTGGTCAGTGTCGTAGGAGACTGGACGATCTCTTCTGATTGTTGGATTTTCCTCAGTGAAATAGGAAGCAAGGCCATCAGATGAAAATGGGGATGCGAAGGAGGTGGTAAGAGCTAGGAGGTAGGAAATTCCAATCCAGGAAAATGAAGTGGGGATGGGCTATGGATATGTTGTAGGAATTCCAGTTTGTACCGTGGGCTCCATGAATACAAACGGTCATGAATTTAAGGCAGGATTAGTAGCCATAACGATGGGCTTTTTATTTTTAAGCTGCCTGGGGACACACAGGAGGTTGGTGAAGAAGTGGATTAAACACAGCAGCATTTTGGGCGTGCTTACACTAAAACACAAAAGCGTGTGTAGAAGAGTGATCTGATGTAACAAGGAATCTAAGCTGGGTAAAGAGCATAGCCAGGACAGTAAGACTGAGCCAGTGGGTGCATTCTTAATTTTCTAAATTAGCTCATGTTTCTTCAGTGGGAGGATTTCTTAGGCACCTAGGAAACTCAAAAATTTTTGTCATGGTACTAATTTATGAGTAAGAAAAAGTTACCCACCTAAGGCGTAAGACTTTCTGGCATTCTTTCTGTAGAAATACTTGAGTAAGGCTTACCAAAGCCCTTCTGCTCTAGCTGATTTACTTGATGGAACTAATATTTGCCCACTCCCCAAAGTGCCAGGTGTTGGACTTTGCCAGGTGATCATTTTTGATCTGTATTTGATGGTTTTTAGGATGCTTAAGCAATTTACAAGTAGCCTTGCACAGAAAACAGGAACATTGAACATTTCAAGGTGAAATTGTAACTTTTCCCTTTCATTAGTGCAAACCGTTGTATCCAAAGACTTCTGATGAAAATTCAAATTACTTGCAAGTTATAACTATTATAACTTCTGCAACATTCACTATGTCACAAGCAGAGGGATAAAACATATATACATTTATATATTTTTAATAAATACATCGAAAGGTTAAAACTATCTCTGCACTGTATGCGTGTGTATCTACATACACTGTATATAGGCACTGTATATATGTACTGTGTGTGTGTATATATGTATGCATTCTGTGTACAGGTGCCCCCCCCTCCCCAACACTTGCGGTAGCACTAGTATAACTTCAATGAGTGGCCGTAAAGTAACTAAGGAAGAAAAAGATATTTGTTGCTTAAATTTTGGGGAATTCATACTCTGGGTTCATAAAGGAGGTATACTTGCCTGTTTACTTATATTCTTGTTTGTCCAAAAAGAATTTAAGGTGTTAACAATAAAAACTTTAAGGAAAAATGTATTAAATACCACCAGTGCATAAAATGCAGAACAAGCAAGATTAATTTTATGGAGTTGTGTGTAATGCAGATCATAGTTAACTTGAAATCCTAATTGTAAAGATTATGACACACCTTGAAGTAGTGATCATAACCCCCCCTTAATTTATGATATATGATACTTATTGTGTTCACTTAGAAATTTTTATCCACAGATATTTTATGCTCTCTAATAAGAAGTCATTTCAAAGAGAATCTGGATATTTTAAATGTGTCTGTGTTTTGTTGTTCTGTTTTCTAGTGTTGCGTAAAAATGACCACAGAAACCTTAGCAGTCTACAGCTAAACATTTATTCAGCTCAGGAGTCTGGGCTGCAGTTGATCCCTGCAAGCCTGGCTTGTGTACCTGATCAGCTGCAGGTCAGCTAGGGGTTCTCAGGATCTTGAGGGGGCTCATTCACTTGGGTTTGGCTGGTGTTGGCTTATCTGAGGTGACCTCAGCAGAGACCACTAGGCTGCCCTGCCGCTGCTTCCTGTTCTCTTACCTTCCTCCTGGGGTGGTCAGGGGACCAGCCCCGCAGAGGGCAAAGCAGAGAGCAAAGGCAGGTCTTTACATATCTCTGTTTGTATCACACGTACCATCTTCCCATTGGTTGATGCAAATCCTGTGGCTCTGCTCAAGTAGGAAAGGCACCTGACTGCAAGGTGAATGCCAAAGGATGGGGGATATGTGGAGAGTTGAGTTGGAATTAGGCAGTTCCCCCGCAGTGGGCCACCAGCGGAAATGAACAACTTTGAATAGAAATATGTGACCTTGTTAAATTCCAGATTTTGTTGCTGTTCTTGATCTCTCGTTATTTATTTTGATAAGCACATTTTATGTGAGCATAGCCTCCAGTTTTATACTTCTGTAAAAGTAGCCTTCAGGCATCTCCACAGTAGTACGTTGGAAACTCATTCTGGTTGTTGTTGCTTACTTTTCCAGTTCCACTCTCTTAAAATGGTTTTCCTGTTGGTCAAAATATTAAGAGGAACCGTGACTACCACTGAACCTGGTGGCACATTTAGGAACATCATCAGCAAGTTTTCAGCACTGTTGTCTATGCATCTGATGTGCATCTCATACACGGATCTCATACAAGGATGGTGTATATATATAAAAGCAAAAAAAGCTAGAAAAGACATTGAAGACTTAGTCTTGCCATCTCTGCAATATCATTTCATACTCTATTTTAAAAATCATATGAATGTCATAGGGCATTTGTAGAAATGTGGTATCATCCTTGTTGACTTTAAAAAAAAAAACAAAAAAACTTTCTTTTGAGAGTGAGCAAGTGGGGTATAGGCAGAGGGAGAGAATCCCAAGCAGACTCTGTACCCAGTGTGGAGGAGGATTCGGGGCTCGATCTCATGACCGTGAGACCATGACCTGAGCCAAAATCAGCAATGAGATGCTTAACCAACTGAGCCACCTGGGCGCCCCAAGACTTCAACTTTAAAACTAGGGGTGGGAGAAAAGTAGGGAAAGACCATAATGTTTCATCAGTTTTCCTTAGTATTAATAGTTTTCATGACTGCTTTGTGTATCCACCTTATTTTTATGTGTGTTTTTGTTTGTTTTTTAGGGAGAAGTAATAGCACTGGATAAAATAGCCAACAAAGTAGAAAAAATAAAACAGAATGCTTTATTGTTAGGGCTGAATTCCATCAAGGCGTTTTGCTTTGATGGAACAAAGGCTCTTAAACTCGATATGGTTAAGGATGCTGAAGGTGAGTTAAATTTTATCATTATAGGCTTCTGTGATTGGCTGTTGGAAGCAAATAGATTTTGCTTTCATTATTCTAGCCCTAAAATATCCACAAGACTTCAAAGCTGGCATAGATCTAAGCTATTTTGCCATAATAGATATCATTTTGCTTTTTACCTCATCCCTAAATGTCAGATTTTAACAATGTAGAATCAAATCCCCAAGACTTGGTCAAACCCTTTGGTCTTACTGTATTTGTCTTAATTTCATATTAAATCTCAGAAAGCTTATTAGCCTTTCAATTTTATGATTCTTGAGCTATTCTGTCTTCCTCATTTTTCTTGAGAGAATGGGGCTGTGGAGCTAGGGAGGGAGGGAAAACTGTCCCATATCTTGTGTTAGAATAAAATGTTGCATTTATTAAGTCACTTGATTGCTCTGTTTCTTTGTTTAGATTTGATTTCATGAACTACTCCAGAAACTTGCATATTTTAATGAGTGAATTGACATTAATGTTCCCAAAATGTTTATCAGTGAAAGATGCTTCTTGATTAATCACTTCTCTGCCTTTTGGCTAAGATCAAGTGTAGTGTCTACTATCATGAGTTTAGTATCTGATATGTCCTTTCTCTGAGGACAATATATTACAAGGATTTTTGGCGCCAGGAGATGGAATAGGAGCTTGCTCCATCCATTTCCATGCATCAACGTATTTTTCCAGTATTCCCAGGAATAGTGCACCTTTTTGAGGGAATGAAAATTGTCTGGGGTGGAAAAATGCTACTTAGTTAAAGGTGACTTTTATTTATTTTCTTTTTAGTGTTTATTTATTTTGAGAGAGCATGTGAGCTGGAAAGGGGCAGAGAGAGAGGGAGAGAGAAAATCCTAAGCAGGCTCTGTACTGTCAGAGCAGAGCCCAATGTGCGGCTTGGTCTCACGGAATCATGAGATCATGACCTGAGCCGAGATAAAGAGTTGGATGCTTAACTGACTGAGCTACCCAGGTGCCCTTAAAGATGACCTTTACAAAATCAAGGCCATGGTTTTGATTCCCCACCCTGTACGGACCATCTAACTTTCCCGTATATAAGCTGTTGTTCCTAAGAATGACTAATAGACAATGGACAGCTCAATTAATCCATTACTGTTACTTTACTGAAATCACTGGTAGGTGACCAGTTTTTACATATCATTGAATAAAGTGACCATACTCATAAGTGTAATAGGTTGAGATTAGGGTAAGAAGAATCAAGATGTAGGGGTAGCCATCTTAGTGGTCAGTCTCTGGTGCTATAGGAAGACATATTTTAACTGACTTGAAATATTCAGTCACCGAGTTTTCACTCATCCACGTCACTTTATTAGCTAATGGTCCTAGGTTGTCATCTCTAGCTCTTTTTTTCATCAAGACTTGTTTCATAACAGATACTGGATGGTACTTTGACTTGGGGTATGAAACCTAGAATGTCAGGCAATAGACATCTGGTGGAAAATGCATCAGTAGTAATGTGAACATCACCATATCTTTGAGATTCCTGGAAAGTGAGGGGTTATTTTGTGACACTTGCCTAACGTGTAATAAACACACAGGATGAACAGATAGATGCAACACATAGAAGTTTTCCTAGAAAAATAGGGATTGTTCCAAGGAACAAGTTCTGGACTATAGGATTTATCTTCTCACGGAAGTGGGAATAGGTCATATTTAATTGCCTGATTACGTGAGAACAGCATTTCATGGTCAGATGATTGTTAACCCAAAAGAGTTAGCCAGGGGATTTATATTAGAGTATAGGCTCATAGGCTGTATCAGAGAGACTCAAAATTCAGTGGCTTAGAACATATAAAAGAGTTTTTATTTCTTTGTTTTTGTTGTTTATTTTGGACTCACTGAGCAGAAGTGGACATTCAGTCCTGGTACTTTCATCTCTGGTCCAAGATAGATGTCCCGGTTCTTTCAAGGGGACGGGAAGAGAAACCAGATTTCTTAGTAATGCATACTACAGCTGGGCAGATCTGTCATTTGATGATCAGTTTTGCTGCAAGTGGGGGCTGGAAAATGTGGTCTTTAGCTGTGTGGCCATGTACCCTGTGCGAAACGTGACCGTAGGCAAAGAGCATAATGGGCGTTGAAGAGCACCTAGGAGTCTGACCAAGGCTTTGTATTACTCAAGGTGGTGATGGTGACCATTTACATTTATTCATAAGATTTTTAGAATTTTTAATTTAGTATAGTTGACGTAGTGTTATTAGGTTCAACTGTACAACATAATGATTCTACAATTCTTTACATTATTCCATGCTCAACACAATTAAGTCACCCTCTGTCATCATAAAATGTTACTAAATTATTGACTGTATTCCCTACTCTGTGGTGTTTGTTTTTTAATCTCTGTGACATACTCATTTTATAGCCAAAAGTTTGTACCCCTTAATTTCCTTCACTTATTTTGCCCATCAAATCACCCACCTCCCTGCTGGCAAACACCGGTTTGTCCCCTGAATTTGAGTCTATTTTTGTTTGTTTGTTTATTGTTTTAATATTTAGAGCCCACATATAAGTGAAATCCTATGGAATTTGTCTTTCTCTGTCTTGTTTTACTATCATACCGTCTAGATCCATCCGTGTTGTGGTGCGTGGCAAGATGCCATTCATTTGTATGGCTAACTAATATTCCGTGTGTGTGTACCACATCTTTATCCATCTATCAGTAGACTCTTGGGGTTGTTTCTATATATTGGCTATTTAAGTAATGCTACAATAAATGTAGGAGTGCGTATATCTTTTTGAATTCATGTTTTTTTTTTCTTCAGGTAATTATCTAATGCCAGAATTACTGGATCATATGGTATTTCAACTTTTAATTTTTTGAGGAATCTCCATACTGTTGTCCATAGCAATTGTACCAATTTACATTCCCACCAGCAGTGCACAAGACTTCTCTTTTCTTCACATCCTTATAATGTATTATTTCTTGTCTTTGGTACTAGCCATTCTTACTGGTGTGTGAAGTGAGATCTTATGGTGGTTTTATCTTGCATTTCCCTGATGATTAGTGGTGTCGAGCATCTTCTCATGTGTCTGTTGGCCATCTGTATGTCATCTTTGGAAGAATGTCTTCAGGTCCTGTGCCCATTTTTTAATTGGATTCTTTGGGTTTTTTTTGGTGCTGAGTTGTAGAAGTTCTGTACGTATTTTGGTTATTAACACTATACAGACATATCATTTGCAAAATCTTACATTCAGTAGGTTTGCCTTTTCATTTTGTTGATGGTTTCCTTTACGGTGCATAAGTGGTTTAGTTCCAGTAGTTTATTTTTGCTTTTGTTTCCCTTTATTGAGGAGACGTATCCATAAATATGTTGGTAAGGCTGATGCAAAGAGATTACTACCTATGTTTTCTTTTAGGAATTTTATGGTTTCAGGTCTCATATTTGGGTCTTTAATCCATTTTTTTAAATGTTTTATTTATTTCTAGGAGAGAGAGAGAGACAGCGTGAGCAGGGGAGGGTCAGAGAGAGAGGGAGTCACAGACTCTGAAATAGGCTCCAGGCTCTGAGCTGGCAGTCAGCACAGAGCCCGACGCGGGCCTAGAACCCACGAACCACGAGATCATGACCTAAGCGAAAGTCGGACGCTTAACCGACTAAGCCACCCAGGCGCCCCAAGGGTCTTTAATCCATTTTGAATTCATTTTTGTGTATGGTATGAGAAAGTGTTCCAGTTTTATTCTTTGGCATGTAACTGTCCAGTTTTCCCAGCACCATTTATTGAAGAGACCATCTTTTCCCAATTCCCCATTGTATATTCTTGCCTCCTTTTTCATCAATTAAATGAACATAAAAGCATGGTTTTATTTCCAAGCACTCTATCCTTTTCCATCGATCTTTTTTTGTACCAGTACCATATTCTTTCAGTTACTATAGCTTTGTAGTATATCTTAAAATCTAGAATTGTGATACCTCCAGCTTTGTTCTTTTTCAAGATTGCTTTGGTATTTGGGGTCTTTTGTGGTTTCATACAAATTTTAGTATTATTTGTACTAGTTCTGTGAAAAGAGCTGTTGTTATTTTGGTGGGGATTGCATTAAATCTGTAAATTGCTTTGGATAGTATGGGAATTTTATTCTTTCCATCCATAAGTATGGCATATCTTTTTATATGTATTGTCTTCAGTTTCTTTCCTCAGCGTCTTCATGATTTTCAGAGTACCAGTCTTCTCCTCCTTGGTTAAATTTATTCCTAGGCATTTTATTCTTTTTGGTGCAGTTGTAAATGGGATTGTTTTATTAATTTCTCTTTTCCATATAGAAACACAATAGATTTCTCTATATTTTGTATTCTGTAACTTTACCGAATTCATTTATTCTAATAGTTTTTTTCTTACCTCTTAAGGAATTCCTTTTAACAGTTCTTATAAGGCTGGTTTAGTGGCGATAAACTCCTTTAACTTTTGTTTCTCCAGGAAACTCTTTATCTCTCCTTCATTTCTGCTTCAAGATAACCTTGCTGGGTAGAGTATTTTTGGTTTAGGTTTTTCCTTTCAGCACTTTGAATGCATCATGCCACACCCTTCTAGGCTGCAGAGTTTCTCTAGAAAAGTCAAAAAAACTGATAACACCTGATTGTCAGAGCCCCCATTTTTAGGTTGTGCTGATTTTCAAAACCAGATACCATGAAGGCCCATCTTCCCAGTAAGTGCCCAGGACTGGGGTGCCTGCTGTGGGCTTCTGATCCACTCACCTTCCAAGTTTGGTGATGTCCCTTCCTTTTGTGGTTTTTCACACTAGGAGTTCGGTTATCGACCTCGGCCCTACCCCTCTTACCCTTTTTGATGTGGCCTTCTCTCTGTGACTAGCTGTGGGAGATCTCTCCCCATCTGGAGACTTTAGTTGGAGTGGATGCGGTTGTGGTTTAGTGTGTCTATGGGATAAGTGAGCTCAAGATCCTCCTACTCTGCCATTTAACCCCCTCATGTGTTCCTCATTCCTTTCAGTTAATAAAATATTTCTTTTCTTTTTAAGTTGAAAGAGTTTGAAGCCCTCTGAGTGGACAAGTGAGGTATAACGTAAGGTGGCCAGAAGCAGATTCACGGACTCTGTAACCAAGCACTGACGTCAAGTTGCAGGATGGTTTTGATTTTTAAACAGTTCTGGGTATGAACTGCTGTTGTAGGAAATCATTTCATCACTTAGTTGCTTAAAACACTAATTTTATTATTATTCGCACAGTTTTAGGGAACAACTGGGGTGAGTGGTTCTCACTTTCAGTATCTGATGCAAATAGCAGTCACGTGGTACCTGAGGGAAGGGTCGCCTCTCAAGCTTCATCTACCACATGCGTGTCTGGAGGTTGATGGTGACCATCAGATGGGACCTGCACATGGCCTCTCTCATGTGTGCTGGGCTTTCTCAGACTGTGCTGCTCGGGTTCTGAGAACTAGTGTCCTAAGAGCCCCAGGCAGAAGCTGTATCATCCCTTTTGGGACTTAGTCCAAAAGTCCTGTAGCATCAGTTCTGCTGTGGTCCAGAATAAAAGCGAAGGAACACTAGATCCCACCTCTTGTGGGAGAAGAGTCAGTGTCAAATTGAAGGGCATGTGGGATGGGGAAGGTATTGGCATAGCCATCTTTGGAAAATAGAATTTTTCCACAGTTTTAAATACTTTGTATTCCTAGTGCATAAATTTATATGCACAAAAATTGTTAGCGGGACATGGAATAAATACTGACTTGAAAAATGAAAGA